GCATCAGTCTTCCGGCCATCCCTAATGTAGAATGATGTAGACATTGGCGTTGAATACTCTTTGCTTTTGTCTACAGAAAGTCATTTAAAGTTTTAAATATATATAACTTATAGTTTAAATAAGTAGTTTAGCTCTGTATTTCCATGCTTAAAATAGCAAGACGTGGAATCTAAGGGCCAGCTTTTCCTACCAACCTTACTGGTTCACCATGTTCTTTAGCCTGGAGTGGTGTTGCCTGTACTTGACTATTTCCCAGGGTTGTCCTGAGACTAGAGAGGTCCAAGCATTCTAAATACTGGCCTTACTACATTGTGTGTTAGTCTCTCAGTCTTGTCCAACTCTGTGTGACCCCATGGACTGTATGTAGTCCACCAGGCTCCTCTGTCCATGGGATTCTCCAGACAAGAATACTGGAGTGGGTTGCCGTGCCCTTCCCCTTGGGAAGGGGATCTTCCCAAGCCAGGAATCAAACCCAGGTCTCCTGCATTGCAAGCAGATTCTTCACCGTCTGAGGCCTTACTACATTACCAATATATAAACATAGACAAATATGTACTCTTCTAAGTAAAACGTTAATCCTGTGGAAGTGTGTGACCTTAAAATTTTTTTTACCCATCTTAATGATACCTATTTTTTTCCCCTAAATTCAGATAATTTCCCTTTCAGCTTCGATGGAAATATTTACAATTTGCAATGTCTATTTCCCAGGGATAATTTTACATTTTTAAGTTGTGACTTTTTCATCAGCAGCTTGCCTCTAGCATTGTCTTTCATACAAAGTCTTGTAATTTATCAAACAAGAAGATGAAAAGGCTCAGATTTTAGACATCTAAAACCAGTTGGTAATCCAGAGTGTGTTTTTCTCACTTCATCTGATCTCTTTCCTTAACATATAAATTAGATAATTTTTAGCGTGAGTAACTCTCTCTGAACAGAAGGAAAAACTGTTTTTCGTCTTGGCTGACTAACACATACAACCCAACCCTGAATTTTTACCCAGTATTTGTCCAGTACACCTGTAAACAGGTCTCCATGGTGTTTGTGAACCCAAGCCCAGTTAGCTTATATGAGACCCTGGATTTAATGAATTCAGAATGTTCAGAGCCTTGTCACTACCAGGCACCCTTCTTAGCAGCCAGAGGTACCACCCTGGGTCAGGGCCAGGAGAAAACAAGAGCCATGTGTACACTGTCATGCGGTCTGCTTGTCTAACCTTTGACGTCAGGAGTGAGGACACTGGGAGAGGCTGGTGACTCCTGTTCTCTTGGAAGCAGAACAAAAGACTGTCTTGGCACCAAGAAATGGCACTCAGCCTGTTGAGCTGAAGAATCCATAGGTGTTTAGCTGCCTGTATAGGTTCTTACATAGAGGACCAGGTATCATCTTTTGTTCAGGTAAAGTATTTTTTGTTTTTGTTTTGTTTTTTGCATCAGGTGTGAAAATCTCCAACTGCACTGCGTTCCAATCTCTTGGCATAATCCCAGTGGTTCTCTAGTTTCACAGATACAGACTAGATGAAGCAAGCGGGCAGAAAGATTACAGTGCAGTAGTGCTTTCCCAAATAGCTTTAGGTAAATAAGAATTGATAAGGTTGTCTCATCTTAGTCTTAGTCATGCCTTCATTCTTTAAAGGAGTCCCTTTGTGATATAGATGGTCCTTATAGTAGTAATACCTATCCTCCTCTAAAATAATTTTCAAGACATCTTGATACATCAGTTATTTTTATTGGAAGTATGCCCTTCAGACCCTTGAACAGCACATTAGTGCTTACTCTAGGCCTAGAGATAGTTCTTCCTGAGAGCTAGACTCTGGAGCCAGATGGGGTGAATTGAAATCCTGGCTCTGAGACCAGGATGGTACTTACCTCCTTTCCTCTGTGGTGAATAGCATACAAGTCTTCATAGAGTTATCATGAATGTTAAGTGACTAGTACATGTAAATGCTGAGATCACCCCTGGGACTACATATGCAAGGAGCTTAATAAATGTCTCCTTCACTATATAATGCTTCAGAATAGTCTTTTATTCCCTTGAAAGAGAGTAGATGGTGGCAGTAAAGATTTACCTTCGTCATAGAAGTTTTATTGTTTAGTTAATATGAAGCTATCAAGGAAGGAAGGAAGAAAGTAATTTAATCTGGAAGATGATGATTAGAAAAACAAAATAGGAAAGTGTAATGCCAACTTTTTAAGTCCAAGTTGACCTTTACAAAGAACTTCCAAGTCTTAAGCTCTATAAAATACTAACTTCTTTCTCTCATGTTAGGAAGATTGATGTGGTCAGGCAGTGTCTTTCACTGTGGTGATCCAAACACATTCATCATGTGTTTGGCTATGCTAGAGATTTTCACTTCAGCTGTGAGGGTGAGGAAAGGAGGAGAGAAGGCAGAGGAGGAGACAGGTAGTGGCAGGGGTGGGGAGGAGAGAGAGCAGGGATGTGAGAGTGTGAGAAAAATAGATACAAGAAAGAGATAATGAGAATGAATATCAGCTAGCTTCAAGCTAGCATCTTACAAAGGATTTTAGCAGCTAAGCACAGAAATGGCAAACACATCATTTCTGTTCCCATTCCATGGGCCACAACTAGTCACATGGCTCCAGCCTACCTACCAGGGTTCTGAAGAGTCAGTTCTCCCCTATAAAAAGAAGCAGGATCATCATTACCATCTTTCTAAATTCTATATATATGCATTAATATACTGTACTGGTGTTTTTCTTTCTGACTTACTTCACTCTGTAAAATAGGCTCCAGTTTCATCTACCTCATTAGAACTGAAATAGATCACCAGTCCAGGTTCAATGCATGAGACAGGGTGCTCAGGGCTGGTGCACTGGGATGACTCTGAGGGATGGGATGGGGAGGGAGGGGGGAGGGGGGTTCAGGATGGGGAACACATGTAAATCCAAGGCTGATTCATGTCAATGTACGGCAAAAACCACTACAATATTGTAAAGTAATTAGCCTCCAATTAAAATAATTAATTTTTAAAAAAAAGAAGAAGCAGGGTAGATCCCAGCTAGTCCCTGATACAACAGTTAACCCTGTAACATATTTCCTGCTAATGGCAGACACTTCCTACAATTAGCCTATTTGTACACTTCACTGTAAACTATTCCTGACATTCTGTATAATACCAGGACCAGCAAAGGACCCAAGAGAATGTGCATACATTATCCTTCTTTCTTATTTTAGAAATTTTCAGAAATTCAGGGAATCTTCTGAGACATCTACTTCTGAACATTTTATTGCTGTGCAGTTAGCCAAGAGATAAGGACTCTTGGTGACTATTTTTTTATTTTATTTTTATTTGGAGAATAATTACAATTTTGTGATGGTTTCTGCCGTGCATCAACATGAATTAGCCATAGGTATACATATGTCCGCTCCCTCTTGAACCTCCTTCTCCATCCCACCCCTCAAAGGTTGTCACAGAGCACCATCTTAATGGCCATCCTTGACAGGCAGTTTCCTATTAACAAGAAAGTTTTTATGCTTTGTATACCACTGGTAGTCAGTAAATGACAAAAGGTAAAGAAGTTAGTGATCCATTGAAGTTACACGGGACAATCTAAAAGTAGACTTTTTTTTTTTTTGCTGCCCTTTAATATAAGGCTCACTACTGTGGGCAGTGTTTGTACTCAGCTCTGATAGGAAGAGTGGGTACCTCGTATCACCAAATAAATTGACATATTCCTGCAGATTTATTAATAATACTTCACATGAGCCATTCTTTTGGATCTACACACTTTCTTTTGGATCCACATCTTTTGGATCTAATTGGCCTCTATACACACCAAGCAGTTTATTTTTAAGAGCAAACCCTGGGAGAGTTTATAGCTACGTGGACACACCTCAGGCCATGCTTAACTAAGCTTTGGGTTAATGTATACCTGACATTTTGCACTGTTTCATAGTTATGTGGAGCAGGTTTGAATCCCATTTCTTCTGCCAAGTTTCAGGTGTTTGACACCACTAGGAAGCATTATAATGTAATGGTTGGCCATGTGATCTGCAGTATCAAATTGAGTTTGCATCCCAACTCCACCTCAGTCAGTATATGACCTTGGAAACTTTCACTGTTTGCTATGGTTGCCTAGGTATTTCTGGTAGCAAATATCTGACTGGGTGGCCTCAACAAGAAAGATTTATTTTCTCACACTTCTGAAGGCTGGAAGTTTAAGATCAGGTATTGGAGGGTTGGAGGTGAGACCCTCTTCCCTTGGCTGGTCACTGGCCGTCTAACCGTGTCTTCACATGGTCTTCCCTCAGTATCACTCAGCATGTGAGCGCCCAGACTTGGGTCAAGGACACCACTAGCCTCACTGACTCAGTCCTTTATCCCCTAGCAGGTCAGCTGCCCAGTCTTGCCAGTTCTTTTGAAATGAACCCAAAATATTTGTCTTTTACAAATAATAACAAGTATGAGGATTGTCACATATAAATAAATGAAATAATTTTTAACTGACTATAAAATGATCAGTATATGTACTTTTATGATCATAAAGTCTGAAATATGTCTTATAGGGGTTGGTGGAACATGTTATAAGTAATTAGTTAGTTGCCTGATTTTTTCCTATAAATCTGTGTACCTTTCTGTGAAAGAAAGGAAATACCCAACAGTGACAAAAAATATCCTTCCCTATCAGACCTTCCATGGGAAGAAGGCCTCCATCTTCTAATATTAAATCACCACTTTGTACACATTGTACGTCTTTTATAATCATATTGTACAACCTAAATATATACAATTTTTATTTGTCAATCATATCTCAATAAAGCTGGAAAAAAATGAAGTTGCTGTTCACTCTTAAAAAATAATAATAATATGTAGAATAATGCATTAGCATCTCTGACTTCTGTTTTCCCTCCATTCTGGCCATTCTGTTGTTACATCTTTCTTCCTTGGTTCTTATATATCTCTTTCTGAAACATATTCTGAAAATCTGAATTTTTTTATTACTTGGCTTTATTTAATTTTTAATTTAATTTTTTTTGGACAGAAAAGAGCAAGTTAGTACCTTGTATCAAAACATCAACCTCGTGGAGCCAAGACTGATTCAACCATATGAACATGTTATAAAGAACTTTATCCGTGAGATCAAACTTCAGAGCACAGAAATGGAAAACCTGGCCATTGCAGTGAAGAGGTATTGAAGTCTTTCCTCTCTCCATGGCAGAAGGGGTCCTTTAAGTGGCTCTCTGACTGAATGGCACAAAGATGAAACACATTATCACATTATGATATAGGGGGACTGCCCAAATCTGAGGAATCTGGAGCCTTCTGAACTAAGCCAGCATGACGGAAGCTGAGTCTGGCAGTACTTTGTAGGATCAGCCAGCAGTCCATCAGCATGTCCCCATGTTCCTATCATATAAACCTTTCAAGGGCTGTGATCCATACAAAACTGTTCAAAGAGTTTCATTATCTTATATCCAGCCACTTGAAACCTACAGGAAACTTTTCATCCAGAGAGAGGCAGGCAGAGACTCCATTTGAAGCCTGACCTTGTCACTGACAGAAAATGACTCTGGGTGGGTTACTTACTCTCCCTGAGTCTCAGGTTCTGCATCTGGAAAGTGAGGCTATAAATTTTCACATCCTCAGGGTGTGGAGACTTCATGAGTGAGTCATGGGTGATGCCCTTGGCACTGGGCTTACCACATGATGAGTGCTCAGTGGGGCTCTTTTCCCTCTCTCTAGCCCTCCTCACTAGCTTAAACTGAAAGTCTGAAAACCTCTAGTCCCTGAATCTCATCAGACAGTTTATGAAAGCCACAGCTGGCTCACACAGACTTTCTTAATAGTTTTAACAGCAATGCAGTACCAAAGAAAAATTTATATTTTCAATATAAATATAATTTATATGTTACAATCCAAACATCAGTGAAAACACACTCACTCCCTGAATATACATGGACCCACACAGATACATGGGGGACACATAGATATACACACATTCACACAGGTGACCTGTAAGGATAGTCCTGTATAAACCCATTGGGAAGAAAGAATGGCATTCTCTCCACTCTGTTGTCCTTCCCAGCCAGGCCGCTGTCCGCTGTGGAGGGAGTGGAACTCTTGGTGCGTCTCTCCCCTCTACTTCTGTGGGTGGGATCCAAAGTCAGGCTCTGGTCTAAGCACAAGGCCTCTTAAAGGCCGCTTCTCTGAGTTGACAGAAACCTCACTGAGGTGTTTAGGCGATTCCTATAAACATTCTCTTACCTTCTTGACTAAGGACCATCCGTCCTCATGTGTTTTGGGTTGGGGGAGGGCCTCAGTCTTTTCACTCCACCCTTGCATCTGAAGAAGGGATTCCCAGCGTCCTAGTAGGGGCCCTGGACTAAGGTTAAAGTGGGCATTCCCACCATGCTGGACACATTACTGGGAGTTGAGTCTTACTGCCATGGTGTCGCAAAGAGTCGGACATGACTGAGCGACTAAACTGACTAAGTCTTCCTGGGGCAAACAGTGTGTCATTATAGACTACCCTGATTTAACCCTCCAAAACAAAAAAATGAAGAAAAAAAGAGTTGTTCAGAAGTGAAGAAGGCAGAGAGGACACATTTGGGAGCAGTCCTGAATGCCCAGATGTTTGGCGCTGGATGTCTAGAAGGAATGGCTGAGGAAAATGAACATATAAAGGGAGAAACAAATGTGTAGCTTAGCTACTTACAGTCCCAGAGCTGACCAATAAAACCTGAAAGTTTCTGTGGAGGTACATGGTGTCTGCATTTGAAATAGCAAGTGTTTGTAAACAGACTAAAACTAGATGACAGTCAGACTTGGTTAACATAACCTCAGCAGGCTGTAAGGTGAGGAGGAAGTTAACGGGAGCAGAAAACAGTGATAAGTCACCCAGAATTTTACTTTGAGGTCTTCCCTCCACCCATCAATTCTTGTTTGGAACCTTATGTAGAAATTAAACTAATGAGCAAATTGTATGAGAGGGAGTAAATGAATTAAAAGCAGGTAGGAGGGTGTGGTGGAAGCCATTAGACTGGAAGACGAAGGCCTTCTACTGAATCCTGTTTCTCATCAACACCATATCACTGGGACAAGTAAATTGACTCTAAGTCTCATGGTGGCTGCTTTCAAGTCACAATCTGGTTGAGTAGGCAAGACATATGCATGTGAAATTTTAGATAATTGGATACCGAGCTGAGATTGAACAAAAAAAGATTTTAGGGCTTAATCTGAAGCCTCAATTATTGTAAAGTGACAGATGTCTTCACACTGGACAATTATTAAATAAAACTATCTGAACATCATCTCAAAGAAATTTCCTGTTTCTAACTTTTTGGCAATTCAGTATGCTCTGCCCCCATAAAAATATGATTTATTGATTATATTCATAAAAGAAACAGGAATTTTCTAAAGGGCAACAATATCTACATTGCAAAACTTTAGGAAACTGACTAGAAATAATTTTTGAGATCTTTTTTCCCATTTAACTACAGCATATAGCATTGTGTGTTTCATGTAACAAAATTTCAGAATTGTATCTATCCATGGAGTTTTTTTTTTTAATCCAGCATTGTAGCTCAGCAGCAAAAAAAATTTTCAGAACTTACTGAGAGCCTCTCAGTAACCTGGTATCTTTCTCTGTTCTTTGCTACAGTATAGTTTAATACCATTTAATCTGTTCTGTTCCATTTATTTAATATCTAGTTTCAGTGTCCCTTTATACCCAGCTGGTCAAATTGCCAATCTGGGGAATGGGGAATATTATTTTAAATGGTGTGTTTCTCCTCTTCTGTAAAATAGCTTGAAATAGCTGAGGCCAGAATAAATTATCTCATCATGCTACAAGGCCAAGAGTATAATGAAAAGGTGTGTACCCTCTGGAATTTCAGAGCCCAGGACAAGGCAGCCATGCAGCTGAGTGAGCTGGAAGAGGAAATGGATCAGAGGATTCAGGCTGCAGAACAGAAGACACGGAAAGACGTGAGTTTGTGGGACTGGCCTGTGTATGCGATGCATCCTTGGACTACCTTTTATGTACAGGGCACAGGGCATTCTCTGGGTACCTCACGTCCAGGTTGCCACAGGCACTCTCAACAAGGGCTTTGTCAGCAGTGGTTTTGAGGGGGATAGACTAAGGAGAAAGAGACAGAGAGGCAATAAGCAGTCAAATAAAGGGGCTAATTTCAGATGGCAACAAGCTCAGTAAAGAAGCATCATGTGTGGTAGACAGGCTGCTTCAGACTTGGAGGTCAGGGGCCTCCTTGAAGAGGGGACAGGAGAGCTGAGGCCTAAAGGAGAAGGCCAAACCCATCTTCGTAGAGGAGGTTGGCTTCACCCTTAATACCACTCTCTCTCAGCCCATGGCCACTACAGCTTTAAATCTAGATTACAAGGACTTCCTGGGGTCCAGTGACTAAGGCTACAAGCTTCCAATACAGAGGGCCCAGGTTCAATCCCTAGTCAGGGAACTAGATCCCACATGCCACAACTAAGACCGGGGGAAGTCAAATAAATAAATAATATAAAGTAAAGAAATCTAGATTACAATGAAGTTAAAACACTCTGTTATGATGGGATATGCTTTTAGGAACTCTCATAGTTGGAAGTTGGGTGTTACCTTTAGTGACTTCCATAGGAGGAATAATTGTCTTTCTTCCTTATAAAATATATTTGAATGATTACTATTTACTGAAAACAGAAAAGAGACATATTTCTTTGAGTAGCTAATGTTAGGTTGAACATTCTCTTTTTTCTGTTCATTTTCCCCATTAACTCTGAGAAGGAGAAAATTGAGTGAGAAGGGCCTGGGTATTGGCCTCTGATAGACCTGCAATAGAGGAGACCTGGGTTCAATTCCTAAGCTGGGAAGATCCCCTGGAGGAATGCATGGCAACCCACTCCAGTATTCTTGCCTGGAGAATCCCATGGACAGAGAAACCTGGCGGGCTACAGTCCAGGAGTCATGAGAGTCGGATAGGACTTAGCAACTAAGCTGCAGGCCTTGGTTTGCCTCCCGGCTCTGGCGCTGGAAAAATCACCTAACCTCTGAGCCTTTGTTGTTCCCACTTTAGATAGGATAAGCCACCAACCTGCTTTAAGGAGGGTGGAGCCTGATGGTCTATATGCATGCCTAGCCCAGTGCTGAGGAGTGGTAGGGGCACCATGGCCGTTAGCATTCTCCTCTTCCCCATTGCTCTGTGTACCTTATGACACTTCAGATTCTTCACCCTGCTTTGCTTTAACACATATACGCCTTCAGGCCTCTTTGTTCTCCTATCTCTTAATAACATGCTTAATAACTGTTTGGATATCATGTAAATGGCTCAGAGTCTATGGTCCAGGGTTAATGTAATGGTTATCTCATTATTTTATTAGCCCTTTATCTTTCTAGTCTAAAAACAGTAACATCCTAATTTTTCTGCCTTTCCCCTCTCCAGCCATTTAATCTGCACTCACTCATTCATCGCACATATCAAGCACATGTTTTGTTCTGCAATAAATCTCTGCCTCATCCAGCTAAGCATTTCCCAGATTGGTTGTTGGTAATAGATACCCAAGCTTCCCAGGTGGCACAGTGGTAAAGAATCCCCCTGCCAGTGCAGGAGACAGAAGGGATGCTGGTTCGATCCCTGGGTGGGGAAGCTCCCCTGGAGTAGGAAATGGCAACCTGCTCCAGTATTCCTGTCTGGAAAGTTCTATGGACAGAGGAGCTTGGTGGGCTACAGTCCATAGGGTTGCAAGCAGTCAGACATGACTGAGCACACACTCTCACACACCTGACCACAGACTGCCCCTTATAACTTCACGGTTTGTTCATTATAACATCTTCCTTGCTTTCCTTGGCTGTGGTATAGGGGTGGTGCATACGTGGCATCCACAGCAGCATTGCTGTGTTCCACAGAAATGGCATAAGCAGCCAGTGAGTCACTGCTCAGACACAGTCTCTGAAAACCTCAGCACACGCTGCCAACAGAGCACCTTTGACCCTGGGATGACCCCTGTTTGTCAGTCCGCCCCAGTCTCCTGGTCTGTCTGGAATAACATGTCTAGGCTGACTGAAGACTTTCCGTAACTTACCTCTACAAGCAAGTCTCACCTGACTCTCCCCGGCTCATTGTTCTGCTCTCACTCCAGCTGTTTTCTTGGCCTTGATGACTCCTTTCCACTTTCCTAAACTTGGCAAAGCTAGAGAAAGCCTCCCCTTCCCCCCAGCGCCCTGCCGTAGTCCTCAGCCACGTTCCTCCTCCTGACCTTGACTCCGCTTGCACAGGTAGTGTTTATCCCGTTGTGTCAATTAGGGCTTTTAAAAAATTATGCTTTAACAGCTTCATGGGGGTGTAATGGGCAGACAATAAACTGTATATACTCAAGGAGTAGAATGTGATGAGATTTATGTGTATACTGAGGAACCACCGTCACAGTCAAGGCAACGGTTGCATTCACATACTACTTTCCATGCCCTGCATCATGCCTCCCTCTCGGCCCCTCCTTATCAGAACCATTTGGTATCTTCTCCAGTGAAGCATCTGTCAGAATCTTTTGTTCATTTTTAAAACTCCGTTTGGTTGTCTTCTTTTTTCTTTTCACCACACCACAGGGCAAAATGTGTGGGTTCTTAAATCTCCGACCAGGGATCAAATCTGTGCCCCTTGCAGTGGAAGCATGAAGTGCTAACCACTGGGAATCAGGGAAGTCCCTGGTGGTTTTCTTATGATTGAGTTTTAGGAGTTGTTTATATATTCTTATCTGTAAATATTTCCTCCCAGACTGTTACTTATCTTTGCGTTCTCTTAACAGTGTCTGTAAAAGAGTAGACATTTTTTGTTTCTTTTTAGCCCAGTGTGTCAGTTTTTTCTTTCATGTATCCTGCTTTTGATATTTAATAAATTTTTGCCTAACCCAAGGTTGCAATGATTTTTCTCCCATGTTTCTTCTACGAGTTTTATTGTTTTAGGTTTCACATTTAGGATCCATTTTACAAGGTATGGATCAAAGTTCGTACTTTTTTGCATGTGCATATCTAATTGTTCCAGCCCATTTGTTGAAAATACTATCTGTTCTCTTTTGAACTGCCTTTGCACTTTGTCCAAAATCATTTTTCTTTATCTGTGTTGGGTTTATTTCTGGGCTTTCCATTCTGTTCCATAGGGTCGCAAAGAGCTGGACACGACTCGGCGACTGAACAACCATGGCAACAATGCTGGTATTGCGTTGTCTTAATGACTGTTGCTTCATAAATAAGTCTTGAAATCAAGTAAAGTTAATTCTTCAACTTTGTTCCTTTTCAAACTTTCTATTTTATGTCCTCAATTTCCATAGAATCAGGTTGTTGTTTGTTGTTTAGTCCCTAAGTTGTGTCTGATTCTTTGCGACCCCACAGACCGTAGCCTTCCAGGCTCCTTTGTTGATGGAATTTTCCAAGTAAGAATACTGGAGCGGGTTGCCATTTCCTTCTCCAAGACTCAGGTTGTCAATTTCTTAAAAAAAAAAAGTCTGCTGGGGTTCAGCTGGACTTCATTACATCTATAGATCAATTGGAGGAGAATTGGCATCTTAATAATAATGAATGATCCAAAAATTTAATATATTCTCTGTTTATTTAGGTCTTATTACACTTAATTTTACATTATAAACTTAAAACTTTTTTTGAATACAGAACACAGGATATAAAATTCCATAATATGTTAAGAGAAAAAGGAAATTAAGAGATATTTAGGCTCATGAGTAGAGAAGGAAATGGCAACCCACTCCAGTATTCTTGCCCGGAGAATCTCAGGGACAGAGGAGCCTGGTGGGTTGCCATCCGTGGCGTCGCACAGAGTTGGACACGACTGAAGTTACTTAGCAGCAGCAGCAGCAGCAGCAGGCTCATGAGAGCCACAGCCCCTGACCTCCAAGGGTGCCCTTTTGTTATTCTCTGCACCAGGGGCAACACATATGAGAAGTACCAGCCTGTGAGCAGCACTTTGCATGGAAATTTGCAGTTGGTGTGATTTGTATTTAGATAAGGTATAGTGGTAGTGTTAGTCACTCAGCCGTATCCAGCTCTTTGTGACCCCATAGACTAGCCCACCAGGCTCCTCTGTCCATGGGATTCTCCAGGCAAGAATACTGGAGTGGGTAGCTATGCCCTCCTCCAGAGGATCTTCCCAACCCAGGGATCAAACCCAGGTCTCCTGCATTGTATGTGGATTCTTTGCTATCTGAGTCACAGGGAAGCCCAGATAAGGTGTAAGCTCTTGGAAAAACAGTGAACGCACCAGGTCTTCCTGAGTCCTGATAACATGATGCGACTCAGGCAAGTGATGGGGCCCTTGGTTGAGCCAGAGCTTTTCATTAAACATAGCAGTGTTTAATCAGCTAGTTAATCGATGTGCTACAGCCCTCTATCCCAATCAAGTAGTGGCCTTAGAGGTGTCACCCCAGGTAATGTGTGTATATAGGTTGTGGGATTCCGCAGTTCCTTTGCTCTTGTAGGTTTCCATTCTGGAAGTGCTGGGCATCTAAAGTTTGGTCACTTCCCTTGTGCTTTCTCACCATCTCTGTGTAGAAGATTTGGGATCAGCCTTCAGTTCAGTTGCTCAGTCGTGTCCGACTCTTTGCGACCCCATGACTATAGCACACCAGGCCTCTCTGTCCATCACCAACTCCCAGAGTTTACTCAAACCCATGTCCATGGAGTCAGTGATGCCATCCAACCATCTCATCCTCTGTTGTCCCCTTCTCCTCCTGCCTTCAATCTTTCCCAGCATCAGGGTCTTTTCCAATGAGTCAGCTCTTCGCATGAGGTAGCCAAAGTATTGGAGTTTCAGCTTCAACATCAGTCCTTCCAATGAACACCCAGGACTGATCTCCTTTAGGATGGACTGGTTGGATCTCCTTGCAGTCCAAGGGACTCTCAAGAGTCTTCTCCAACACCACAAGTTCAAAAGCATCAATTCTTCAGCGCTCAGCTTTCTTTATAGTCCAACTCTCTTGGTTTGACACAAAATGTTTCTCACCTATAGTAATTTGAAGAGCCTATTTAAATCAACAAGTTGGTTTCATTGTTTTTTTTCCCCCAGGAAAAACGCAAAGCTGAGGAAGCCCTCAGTGACCTCAGGCGTCAATATGAAACAGAAGTGGGAGACCTACAGGTGACGATAAAGAAACTCAAGAAGGTAGGTATACAGCAGCTGGACTGAGGGATAGCTTCGGTATCTCAGTGTCTGAATTTTTAGCAACTAAAAACATAGGGAATCATATTGAAGCTGTGGATGGATCAGATTTCAGAATCAAATTGGACTCCTTGGCAAGAATTTTTTTAAAGGCCTCAATTTCTTTTTCTAAGGGCAGCATATCTTTTGCATAGATCTAATGGATATTTCTGATCCCTTGAACAGTTGTCCATCAAGCCTCAGTTTTCTTTCCATGTCTTTACCAAGTGCCCTCAAGTTCCACGTGTCTGGTGGACTGTCTTCTCATGACAGCAGCAACAGTCTTTCCTGGTCATGTAGTCCTTCACCCAGCTTACTGCAGGTTACATGTGTTCACTGAATATTTATTAAATGAAATGAATATTTCTCTTCTCTGTAGCAAGTTCCAGATCTAGAGGACCCCTGATCAGAGGACAGGGTGGGAGAGAACCTGTTGAAGTGAAAGCAAAGGTGTGATTGGTTTTGGCCTTTGTTGTATTTGTTTTCTAAAGATCAGGGTCCATTTTACTGTGTGGTGTACTGGTAGGTGTTTAACAACAGGCTCTGGAGGAATTCCCCTGTGGTCCAGTAGTTAGGACTCTGAGCTTCCACTGCAGGGGTTGTGGGTTAGATCCCTGATGGGGGTAAGATCCCACATGCCACACCTGGCACAGCCTAAAAGGGGAGGAAAGAAGGAGGATTTCTGATATTTGCCAATTTCCATAGTATAAATATTTCCACCATTACCAATTTCAAGCTGCCAAGTTGATATCACTGAATGCAGGCTGGGAAAAGATGCTTAAAATAAATAGGCTCTCACCTGCTGATACACATTGTCTCCAGCACAGTGTTGGATTCACTTCCTGCATGTGGATTGTCTCCATAACTAATAGAAATATCTTAGCTAAAATGAAAATTGGTACTTAAAAAATAATCGTCCCTGCAAGTGGCACTGTGAGTGTGGGCACATCACTTTGCTTCTCTGATCGGTCATACGATAACCTTTAATGGTCCTTTCAGTGTTCATACTGAATGATATTAAATAACAGCTGTATTTTGTGGGTTGTTGCAATTTAAACCTCTGACATATTAAGAATTCTCTCCAGCATTCTTCTTGGAAAAGTATTATCAATGTCAACCTTATATGTGATTTCCAGAGGTCATTAGAACATAATACAATGCTTGTGTTACAGAATTTGAATGGACCAATCCTTTGCTTTATGCTAGAGTCATTGGAGAAGGAAATGGCAACCCACTCCAGTGTTCTTGCCTGGAGAATCCCAGGGACGGGGGAGCCTGGTGGGCTGCCGTCTATGGGGTCGCACAGAGTCGGACACGACTGAAGCGACTTAGCAGCAGCAGCAGCAGAGTCATAGATTCTCCTAGTCCCTGTCCTTACTTATTTCCATGTCATCCCAAATCATTATACTAAGATAATATTTGCAAGAGGAGACACAGAGGGACTTCACTGGTGGTCCAGTGGTTAAGAATCTTTCTGCCATTGCAAGGACCAGTCCCTGGTCAGGGAACTAAGATCCCACATGCCATGAGGAAACTAAGCTTGCAGCCTGCAACTGCTGAGCCCAAGCACTCTGGAGCCTACCCACCACAACAGAGATCCCACATGCACAGCTAAGACCTGACGCAGCCAAAAATAAATAAATAAATATTTTAATAAAAAAGAGGAGACACGAGAATTTCTTGCCCTCATACAACATATGATGAGGACCAAAAAGGCACTGAACAGTAAGAATCAGGAGTGATGAGACCTGAGTCTTTATCGAGGCTGTGCTAATTCCTTTCTGTAACACCTAGGACAATTGGCTTCATGATTCTGATGGTTAGTGTCTCATCTGTAAAATGGGATTAATAATAAACTGTCCTGTCTAACCATAATAACTAACATTTTATTGACTGTGTAGCTTATTAACCTCTTCTTCATTATTTAAGAAAACTGAATTCTCAAACTTTCTCTGAGGAAAGTATAAGTTTCCCACTTTTACAGCTGAGGACGCTGAGTTCCAGGTTTAATAGCTTGTTCAAAGCCTAACTGCAACTGCCAGTGGAGAAGTAGCCCAGACACCTGCGTCCACCACCAGTGAGCGGGGCACTGGGCAGGGAGATGCGGGCTGCATCATCAGTGCTTAGAGTAGGAACTGGGCCTGAATGCTGTGAGGGCAATCTGAGGAAGCTAACGTGAGGCAGCAACCCGAACTGTGGGATCGCCAGAGAGAGAAAAAAAAGAGAACTCTCCTGCAAAAGCTCTAACGTTCAGCCTGGCCCACTCACAAAACGACGGATTGAACAAACACCAAAGGAGAGCTAGCCAGCCTGCACACAGGTCCCTTCCCCCTACCCTCCCGGAGGTAGAGAGGCAGGCATGTGGCAGCCAGAGTCGGAAGGCAAGGGGCTGCTGCAATCGCAGCCCCAGAGACCGCATCTTCCACCAAACTGAGCAGGCTTCCAGTTTCTAACCATGTCTTCCTGGGATCCTGGATGGTTGACATCCACCAGGAGGGTCACAGCCTGAGATCAGCTCCCCAGAGGAGACACATGGCACGCCTGAGACGCTGCTCTCGCAGAGCCCCTCGAGTGGCTGGGGCCAGGGAGGTGATTAAGATGCACGGTGCCCCGGGACAGTGCACTCGCCAAGCAGCTGATCACCTGAACTGCTTGGACCTGGGAAGGGCGCAAAACACTCACCAGTCCGTGTCTATGCCCTTGCAGAGTACACGAGAACCTGACTGGCTTAGACCTGGGAAGTGCACGAAATGTAGGGCCCACTTCAGACAGTGCCCTTGCAGAGCACCCTGGAGCCTGAGCAGTGCAGACCCGGGAAGCACATGCCACCTTGAGCTGTGGCAGACCCAGTGTGGTCCATACACTGCAAGCACTTCCCACACACGCCAGCTATATTTGTTTGCAGTGTCCCTCCCTCCCCACAACACAACTGAACAAGTGAGCCTAAATAAGTGACCCCCTTTCCCCCCTTGTGTCAGGGCAGAAATTAGACACTGAAGAGACTTGCAAACAGAGGAAGCCAAAATAAACAAACAAGAGGGAACTGCTCTGGAAGTGACAGGTTCAACAGATTAAAACCCTGTAGTTAACATTGACTGTGCATTGGAGGGGGCCTATAGACCTTGAGAACAAGTACAAGCTGGAACAAGGAACTATCTTAAACTGAACTGACCCCACACTGCCCATAACAGCTCCAGAGAAATTTCTAGATATATTTTTACTGTTATCACTTTTTAATTTTTTTTAATTTAAGTTCTTTTATTCTTTTAATTTTCATCTTTATAACCTATTATTATTACCTTGCCAAAAAAGACCCTATTTTCAAAGCAAATTTCATATATATTTTTTAATTTTTGGATTGATTTTCTTTTATATTTTTTATATTGTATTTTTGAGAGTCTAACCTCTATTCTAGATTTTTAATCTTTGCGTTTTGGTTATGTGTTATCAATTTTATACCTTTAAGAATCTAATCTTCAGTATCCATTTTCACTTAGGGGTGTGATTACTGGCTTGATTGCTCTCTCCCCTTTTGACACTGCCTTTTCTCCCCCAGGTCACCTCTATCTCCTTCCTCCCTCTTCTCTTCTATACTTAACTCTATGAATCTCTCTGGGTGTTCTGGGATATGGAGAACATTTAGGGAACTGATTACTGACTAAATTGCTCTCTCCCCTTTTGATGCCCACCTTCTCCTCCTGGTCACCTCTATTTCCCTCCTCCCTCTTCTCCTCTCCATGTAATTCTGTGAGTTTCCTTAGATGTACCTCCATGTGGAGAATTGTTTCACTATTAACCTAGGTGTTTTATCATCTGTGCTGTATGGATGGAGAAATCTTGAGGTTACTGTAAGAGAAGGACTGAAAGCCAGAGGCAGGAGGCTTAACTCCAAAATTGAGAACATCAGAGAACTCCTGATTCCAGGGAACATTAATAGACAACAGCTCACCCAAAAGTCTCCATACCTGCACTGAAAACCAAGCTCCACCCAAGAGCTAACAAGTTCCAGTGCAAGACATACCATTCTGATTCTCCAGCAAAGTAGGAACATAGCCCTGAGCATTAAAAGACAGGCTGCCCAAAGCCATGCCAAACCCACAGACACCCCAAAACTCACTACTGGACACTTCATTGCACTCCAGAGAGAAGAGACCCAGCTTCACCCACCAGAACACAGACGCAAGCTCCCCCAGCCGGGAAACTTTGACAAGCCACTAGTCCAACCCCACCCACAGGGAGCAGGCTCCACAATAAAGAAGAACCACGAACTTCCAGCCTATGGAAAGGGCACCTGAAACACAGAAATCTAAACAAAATGAAAAGGCAAAGAAATATTCAGCAGGTAAAGGAACATGAAAAATACCCACTAAACCAAACAAAAGAGGAGGAGATAGGGAGTCTACCTGAAAAAGAATTCAGAATAAAGATGATCCAAAATCTTGAAAACAAAATGGAGTTACAGATTATAGACTAGAGACAAGGATTGAAAAGATGCAAGAAATGTTTAACAAGGGCCTAGAAGAAATAAAGAAGAGTCAATCAAAAATGAATAATATAATAACTGAGATCAAAAGCACTCTGGAGGGAACCAATAGTAGAATAACTGACGCAGAAGCTAGGATAAGTGAGGTAGAAGATAGAATGGTGGAAACAAATGAAGCAGAGAGGAGAAAAGAAAAAAATTAAATGAGAACAACCTTAGAGACCTCTGGGGCAATGTTAAATGCTCCAACATTTGAATCACAGGTGTCTCAGAGAAGAAGACAGAAAGGGCATGAGAAGATACTTGAGGAGATAACAGTTGAAAACTTCCCTAAAATGAGGAAAGAAATAGACACCCAAGTCCAAGAAACCCAGAGAGTCCCAAACAGGATAAACCCAAGGCAAAACACCCCAAGACACGTATTAGTCAAACTAACGAAGATCAAACACAAAGAGCAAATATTAACAGCAGCAAGGGAAAAGTAACAAATAACACACAAGGGGATCCCCATAAGGATAACAGCTGATCTTTCAATAGGAACTCTACAGGCCAGAAGGGAATGGCAGGACATACTTAAAGTGATGAAAGAGAAAAACCTACTATACTATAGTAATTACTACTATATAGTATAGCAGTACTATACTATATGTAGTACTATATATAGTACTGTAGTATATACAGTAGATTACTATACCCAGCAAGGATCTCATTAGATATGAAGGAGAATCAAAAGCTTTACAGACAAGCAAAAGCTGAGAGAATTCAGCACCACCAAACCAGCTCTTCAACAAATGCTAAAGGATCTTCTCTAGACAGGAAACACAGAAAAGGTTTATAAAATCAAACTAAAAACAACAAAGTAAATGGCAGCAGGATCATACTTGTCAGTAATTACCTTGAATGTAAATGGGTTGAATGCCCCAACCAAAAGACAAAGACTGGCTGAATGGATACAAAAACAAGACCTCTATATATGCCATCTGCAAGAGACTCACCTCAAACCAAGGGACACATACAGATTGAAAGGGAAGGGCTGGAAAAAGATATTTCATAGAAATGAAGACCAAAAGGAAGCAGGAGTAGCAATACTCATATCAGATAAAATAGACTTTGAAATAAAGACCATGAAAAGAAACAAGGACACTACATAATGATCAATGGATCAATCCAAGAAGAAGATATAATAATTATATATGCACCCAACATAGGAGCACCTCAATATGTAAGGCAAATGCTAACAAGTATGAAAGGGGAAATTAACAGTAACAATAATAGTGGGAGACTTTAATGCCCCACTCACACCTATGGATGGACAACCAAACATAAAATTAATAAGGAAACACAAGCTTTAAATGATACAGTGGGCCAGTTAGGCATAATTGATATCTATAGGACATTTCCCCCCAAAACAGTGAATTTCACCTTTTTCCCAAGTGCACATGGAGCATCCTTCAAGATAGATTACATCCTGGGCAATAAGTCTAGCCTTGGTAAATTCAAAAAAATGGAAATAATTTCAAGGCATCTTTTCTGATCACAGTGTGGTAAGATTAGATGTCAATGACAGGAAAAAAAACTGTTAAAAATACAAACATAATGGAGGCTAAACAACACGCTCCTGAATAGCCAACAAATCATGAAAGAAATAAAAAAGGAAATAAAAATATGCATAGAAACAAATGAAAATGAAAACAAGAAAACCCAAAACCTATGGGATTCAGTAAAAGCAGTGCTAAGAGGAAGATTCATAGCAATACAAGCTTACCTTAAGAAGCAAGAGAAAAGTCAAATAAATAACCTAACTTTACACCTAAAGCAGCTAGAAAAGGAAGAAATAAGAACCTCAAAGTTAGTAGAAGGAAAGAAATCATAAAAATCATAGCAGAAATAAATGGAAAAGAAAGGAGACTATAGCAAAAATCAACAAAACTAAACCTGATTCTTTGATAAGATAAATAAAATAGACAAACCATTAGCCAGACTCATCAAGAAAAAAAAGGGAGAAGTATCAAATCAATAAAATTAGAAATGAAACTGGAGAAATCAAAACAGAACACACAGAAATGTAAGGATCGTAAGAGACTACTATCAGCAACTATATGCCAATAAAATGGACAACTTGGAAGAAATAGATGAATTCTTAGAAAAGTATAACCTTCAATAACTGAACCAAGAAGAAATAGAAAATCTTAACAGACCCATCACATTCACAGAAATTGAAACTGTAATTAAAAATCTTCCAACAAACAAAAGCCCAGGACCAGATGGCTTCACATCTGAATTCTACCAAAAATTTAGAGAAGAGCTAACACCTACCCTACTCAAACTCTTCCAAAAAAATTGCAGAGGAAGGTAAACTCCCAAACTCATTCTATGAGGCCACTATCACCCTAATACCACAACCAGACAAAGATGCCACAAAAAATGAAAATTATAGGCTAATATCACTGATGAACACAGATGCAGAAATCCTCAACAAAGTTCTAGCAAACAGAATCCAACACCATATTAAACAGATCATACATCATGACCAAGTGGGCTTTATCCCAGGGATGCAAGGATTCTTCAATATCTGCAAGTCAATCAGTGTGATACACCACATTAACAAATTGAAAGATGAAAGCTATATGATTATCTCAATAGATGCAGATAAAGTCTTTGACAAAATTCAACACCCATTTATGATTTAAAAAAAAACTCCAGAAAGCAGGCATAGAAGGAACACACCTCAACATAATAAAAGCCATATATGATAAACCCACAGCATTCATTATCCTCAGTGGTGAAAAATTGAAAGCATTTCAAGACAAGCATGCCCAATCTCACGACTACTATTCAACATAGTTTTGAAAGTTTTAGCTACAGCAATTAGAGGAAAAAAAAGAAATAAAAGGAATCCAGATTGGAAAAGAAGAAATAAAACTCTCACTGTTTGCAGATGACATGATCCTCTAGGTAGAAAACCCTAAAGACACAACCAGAAAATTACTAGAGCTAATCAATGAATATAGTAAAGTTGCAGGATATAAAATTAATACACAGAAATCCCTTGCATTCCTAAACACTAACAATGAGAAAACAGAAACAGAAGAAAACAATCTCATTCACCATTGCAGTGAAAAGAATAAAATACTTAGAAATAAATTTACCTAAAGAAACAAGACTTATGTATATAAAACTATAAAACACTGATGAAAGAAATCAAAGAGGACACAAATAGATGGAGAACATAACATGTTCTTGGATGAGAAGAATCAATGTAGTGAAAATGAGTATACTACCCAAAGCAATCTGTAGATTCAGTGCAATCCCTATCAAGCTACCAATGGTATTTTTCACAGAACTAGAACAAATAATTTTACAATTTGTATTTAAACACAAAAAACCTCAAATAGCCAAAGCAATCTTGAGAAAGAAGAATGGCACTGGCGGAATCAACCTGTCTGACTTCAGACTATACTACAAAGCTACAGTCATCAAGACAGTGTGGTACTGGCACAAAGACAGAAATATAGATCAATGGAACAAAATAGAAAGCCCAGAGATAAATCCACAAACCTATGTACACCTTTTTTTTTTTTTTTACAAAAGAGGCAAAAATGTACAATGGAGAAAAGGCAATTTCTTTAACAAGTGGTGTTGGGAAAACTGGTCATCCACTTATAAAAGAATGAAACTAGAACACTTTCTAACACCATACACAAAAATAAACTCAAAATGGATTAAAGATCTAAATGTAAGACCAGAAACTATAAAACTCCTAGAAGAAAACAAGCAGAACACTCTCTGACATAAATCACAGCAAGATCCTCTATGGCCCACCTCCCAGAATAATGGAAATAAAAGCAAAAATAAACAAATGGGACCCAATTAAACTTAAACGCTTATGCACAATGAAGGAAACTATAAGCAAGGTGAAAAGACAGCCTTCAGAATGGGAGAAAATAATAGCAAACGAAGCAACTGATAGAGAATTAATCTCAAAAATATACAAGCAACTCCTGCAGCTCGATAAAAGAAAAATAAATGACCCAGTCAAAAAGTGGGCCAAAGAACTAAACAGACATTTCTCCAAAGAAGACATACAGATGGCTAACAAACACATGAAAAGATGCTCAACGTCACTCATTATCAGAGAAATGCAAATCAAAACCAAAGTGAGGTACCATCTCACGCCAATCAGAAAGGCTGCTGTCAAAAAGTCTACAAGCAATAAATGCTGGAGAGGGTGTGGAGAAAAGGGAACCCTCTTACACTGTTGGTGGGAATGCAAACTAGTACAGCCACTCTGGAGAACAGTATGGAGATTCCTTAAAAAACTGGAAGTAGAACTGCCATACAACCCAGCAATCCCACTGCTGGGCATATACACTAAGGAAACCAGAGTTGAAAGAGACATATGCACCCCAGTGTTCATTTCAGCACTGTTTACAATAGCTAGGACATGGAAGCAACCTAGATGTCCATCAGCAGATGAATGGATAAGACAGTTGTGGTACATATACACATGAAATATTACTCAGCTATTAAAAGAATGCATTTGAGTCATTTCTAATGAGGTGGATGAAACTGGAGCCTACCATACAGAGTGAAGTAAGTCAGAAAGAAAAACACCAATACAGTATATTAACGCATATATATGGAATTTAGAACAATGGTAACGACAACCCTATATGCAAGATAGCAAGAGAGACACAGATATAAAGAACAAAGTTTTGGACTCTGTGGGAGAAGGCGAGGGTGAGATGATTTGAGAGAATAGCATTGAAACACATATTACCATATGTGAAATTGATGACCAGTCCAAGTTCCATGCGTGAAACAGGGCACTCAAAGCCAGTGCACTGGGACAACCCAGAGGGATGGGATGGGGAGGGAGGTGGGAGGAGGATTTGGAACAGGGGGACACATGTACACCCATGGCTGATTCATGTCAATTTGTGGCAAAAACTACCACAATATTGTAAAGTAATTAGCCTCCAATTAAAATACATAATTTTTTTAAAGTAGGACCTGGCAAAAAATAAATAAACCCCCGTTTCAAACATTTTAATTAATTTAAAGCAAATTTTCAAATTCTTATGGATTATACCTAATTTAATGATTTATGTGGTTTTATAATGTTCAAAATTGAAGACGTTTAGAATTCCCATATCTGAACGTGAATATATTCCTAAACTGAGTGGAACCAACTGAAAGTGAGTTTGTAAATGCTCAACTTTTACTTGCTCTTTCAGCTAGAAGAACAATCAAAACACATAAGTCAGAAACAAGATGTGGCTGCATTAAAGAAACAAATTTATGACTTATCAATGGTAAGAATTACCTTTTCATTTTCAGTAATGTATTTCCTGTTAGACTACTGTTTCTTAAATAAAATCATGCTATGATTTCAGTGTTCCAGGAATAAAAACTTAAAGAGAAATTAGTACTACAGTTAGAGAGTCTTTGAAATACCTGTGACTAAAGGTGTTACATTTTTGGCAGACTTTCCCTTGGACTATTACATAATACCTATTGTAAATGCTTTTTTTTTTTTTTACTCAGAGCAATGATTATGTGGCCTTTAAACATTTATTAGTTAACCCCTGCATTCATATAACATCAACTCAGATCTGTTTCCCTAGCTTTGTAAGATGAGGTCTTATTGCCCTATCCTTCGTCTTGCTGTCCCTTTCCATCTTCTGCTGACAATATCTCTAGTATTTCTGTTGCCAGAACTGATAATATCTATATCTGTTTCATCATTGTCATTTTCTTTAGTTTCCAGGTTGACTCAAACACTGAAAGCCAATAATGAACATTTCCTTTATTATGAATCTAAATATTCTCCCCTGCAGAGCCAAGAAGTGAGCATGAATGAGCTAGAATTGCATTTATTTCTCTCCAGTTATTATCCCTGTGCCACTCAAAAAGAGAAGGTACCCCAGCTTTGGGGTTAGGATCCATGTATTCACTACCAGTTCCAGGTTTTGCTACCTCTTGGTTGGTTTTGTGCTTGAATCATGACTTTAAAGAGTTGCTTACTTCTCTTGGATTCTCTTGGTGGGGTTTTTGGTTACTTATAAAAAGAAATTCTGCCATCTTCATATCCCTGACACTCTGCAACTTATATCTATTCTTTCCAGTACATGGAATTTGTTTTTTCTTCTCCTGAAAATATTGGAGAAGTTTTGGAGTCCAGGAGATTTCAATTCTTATTGGATTGATTGCTTTTTAAGCTTGCTACCCAGATGTCACCATGGAATTTCTGACCATTTCAGGTAGCCTATGTGTGATTCCTGGGCAGCTAGGCAAATAGATCTGGTTACCTCAGGGCCTCTCTTCTGAAAGACAATCTCCTTGGAGCTCTGTATGTGAAGCTGGCTGTCAGACATGGAACCCCAGTTACCATATGCATGAGGCATGGATATGTACAAAGAGAAGCCTTAGCTTTCCTTTGGGGAATCATTCAGTTATTTTTAAATAACTTGTTGCCTTTGGAATCAGTTCTGGCTTTCTGCTCTTCTTTCCTAGAGTAAGAGCAGGTATGGGCTTGAGAGGCAGCATGACTTAATATATAATTTTAATCTCTGTTTTCAGCTCTCTTCTCACTCTCTGGGCTTCTGCCTGACCAGTTGCCTCTGCTCTGCACTACAGCAAAACCTTCAACACCTATCACCTGGACCTCCTTTTCCCCTTGTTTCTTCCCTTTGTCAGCGCATTGCCATCCAGTTTCCTTTTTACAGCAATGTTTTTAGATCACTTGACTGTTGACTGGCCTCTTTTCATTCTTTAACTTTTATTGGTTTATTTCCTTTGGTATTTCATGTTAATAGGGTCTCAAAAGGGAAAGAAGACTAATTCATGTGCCCAATCTACCATATTTAACCAGAAACTTCCAGTGATTTTTTTTTTGTTCTTTCTCTTTTGTTTTTAAGAAAAATATAGAAATTTCCTAACCACACAGGTGCATTTTTAAGTGTAAAATTTAACAATGTTAGGTGATAGGATTTATTATGAAAAGTAGCCCGTCTACCTGGTAATAGATACTGTCAATTCCACAGATTATCGGTAATTCCACAGCTCTCATTAAGTAAAGCAGATGTTTAAATGTTTGGTCTCCATTGTTTTACCAATAACATGTTAAAGTATCATCATGATAAACTCTTACTGTTGAAGTTTTGCACCAAATGCCCAAGTATTTAGAAAAGAAGAAGAACAACAACAACAACATCAACTTTGAGGATTTAATTTTGACATTTTAATACTTTATTAAAATTTAAAATTACCTTGAATTGGTAATTAGTTCTTTGAACACCAAGATTTGAAGACTGTGGAGGGGTGAGAGTAACATGTGGGAAAGTTACACTGTACTTGACTTCACATCTCCCTGTGGAAGAAACTCTGCGTCTAGTGACCTGCACTGTTTCTTTCCTCTAGGAAAATCAGAAAGTTAAGAAAGATCTTTTAGAAGCACAGACAAACATAGCCTTTCTTCAGAGTGAACTAGATTCTTTGAAAAGTGATTATGCTGATCAGAGTCTGAATTCTGAAAGGTATGAAACTTCACATTTTACTCTGTAGTTTGAATGGAATGTTTATTTGGGTAACATCCATGTGAATGAAGCTTAGCTATGTAGTAATAAGGGGTTATTTATTAACTTTGCTAATATTTTCTTTGCTTTCTAAAGATTTTATGTTTAATGTCAGATCTAGTGATTTTTGTGTTTTTAATTTTTAAAAACAAATTGATTAGCTAGTTTAGTTATTGACTGCTCAGAACAGTGCAGGGCTTAGAAATGTTTGAATTAAATGGGAGCAGAAGAATATACCTAAAGTATCAAGAGGCAGTGCTAACTGAGGTGCTTTGAAGGTAGAAATTCCAGCCCTGCAACATAAAAATAATGGAAGACTAAACATCTTAGGCAAGTCATTTTATTTTACTGTGCTTTAGTTTTGCAATATGGTGTTAATACAGGATCTAACACACACATGTACACACAAAGGCATGTAATTATACATAAGGAAGATACACATAGATATTTATATAGGAGTATTGTAAATATGAAAATGCATCTATATGCATGAGTATATGCATGTATCCCCTAGTACATGTACACTGGAGAAAAATACCTTGTCTTTTGTTTGTTGTTTCGCCAACCTTATTCAGAATTAAGATTGTGTAATGGAAAGCTTCCTCAGGTGGCTCAGTGGTAAAAAATCCACCTGCCAATGCAGGAGATCTGAGTTTGGTCCCTGGGTCAGGAAGAGCCCCTGGAGTAGGAAATGGCAACCCACTTCAGTATTCTTGCCTGGGAAATTCCGTGGATAGAGGAGCCTGGTGAGCTACAGTCTGTGAAGTTGCAAAGAATCGGACATGACTGAGCATGCACACGCACAGTGAAAAGCAGTCATACATTTATTAAGTGCTTACTATATACAGGTCCCTGAGCTAGATAAGGAGTTATGAGTGTGGAGTACATTTTAAAAAAAGAAAAGATGTGACCTGTGCTCTTTGAGAACTTCAAATTTAGTTGGGAAACTTAAAAGCTAAAAGGTTACTGAGTTAAACAGCATAAGAACTCAACAATGTCAGAAATAATACCACCAGCAGTGTCACATGTTGGGTTTATTGCCACGAGATGGTAGACAAAGTGTTCTTTTAGTTCACAAAGGTGGATACTTTATTAAAGAAGAGACACTTGAGTTAGCTTGTCAACAAGTAACACAGGTCCCACTGACAACTGCCTGACACTGTCTTTAGTACTTCATTAGCATTAACTCAGTCACAGTTTCCTATGCAATAGGAACTTTCCTTATCCCCATTTTACAGATGGAAAAAGAGTCTCAGAGACATTCCATATGTGGCAAAACCCAAAGCAGAGGCAAGGACATAAGGAGGGATATGACTGGTTTGGGGAACAGTGGTCAGGCCAGTGGACAGAAAAAGATATTTTGAATGGAAAGGCTAAAGTTTAAAAAAATTAAAAGGTTTTAAAACTAGTTTAAGGCTGTAATGTAAGGTCCCAGAATTTTTGGCTAAGGAACTTAAATTCCTGGAGACAATTGGGAAACTTGTAGCCTTATCAAGAGTGCAAATGGGCAAGTTAGTTGTTATGGACAAAATCTGACAGCCTGAGGGTCTGGGGAAGACAGTGATGGGGATTGTCTGCTTAGAAATGGGGCTGGGGTGGGATAGGGCCTGGAAGGAAGTGGCTGATGTTCTGAATGGACATTTTAAGGAGAAGGCCAGCACTGCTTTGTAATAAAGCAACAGAGGACTTGCTGAGCATGAGTTTATAGTGAACAGAGAAAGCCTGGTTCTGTGAATCCCTTCGTGGCTTAGGGTGCAGAAGGGAGGGTCAGCAGGACTTGGAGCACAGAGATAAGAAAGGAGTATTAGTATAGCTGGGATTGGGGTTGCGTAAGGCTTGGAATGAGCAGCGAAGAGTCAGAGGTGAGAGAGTGGGTTGGGCTGAAATGGGTAATGTGAGCGCCTGTGGAGCGCAGGCTTAATAGAAGGCCGGAGGTTCAGTCCCAGTAAGGAACAGAGCCAGGGCAGTGGGCTCGGGTGGAGGAGCTGTGGATGCTGCAAGGCGGAGTGGAGGAAGCAGAGCCTTGCAGGAGGAAGCAGAGGTTGGGTATGCTTGTGGCTCACAGGGGAGAAGAGGCTGCTACTGGATTCAGAGGACCTGAGCAGGAGCGTGGAGAGATAGAAACCATGGTCAAGGACACAGGACTTTGGAAGAGGTGGAAAGGAGTCTGAGAGAGTAGGTACAGGTAAGGCAGGACTGAACACCTAATGCTCATTCAAACATAAAATGTAATTTTACAGGGATCTGGAAATAATCCGAGAATACACAGAAGATCGAAATAGTCTTGAGAGGCAAATTGAAATACTCCAGTAAGTTCTCATATTTCTCATCACACTTACATTTAACTTATGTTTTGTTAGTAAAACACGTGCCACATATAACACGAGTTGCCATATATCAGAGGCTGGGTCAGGAGATCCACACATGTTCTTCTTGATGTGGTGACTTTAGCACATTAGTTTAGCTTTCTGATGCTGCTATTCCTGCATAAACTCCTCCAATCCAGGAACGAGATTATAATTCTCTAAAAGTCCTCTTAAATCAGGTTGGTATGTCCAGCGTATCTTTATAATACATTTATTATACTGTAAAGAACAACAGCCCTGACTTCATCTGCTTTCTGTGCAGCTCCACACACAGAGGTTTTAGGCATCCCGCACAGTGCATGTCACATCACTAGGCATACACGATAGTTCTCACGCAGTTTATTGTGCCTGGTTAGCAATATGTTTTTCTTTATTCAAAATATCTTGGAAATAGTACACCTGCTCTGTCAGCTCTGCAACTAAGCTTCAGAATCCATTCTCTGAGGACCTCACTGACAAAACCTCCCCTATCCCTGATGCCCTTTCTCTCTTTTCTCCCAGGCAATATTTTCTTCTGGTTTTACTTCCCCCAGATAATATCAGGTCAGGCTTGATGATTGTTTCACCATTACAAATGCTTATTAAGCCTCACCTGTGGCACTGATAGAATTGATATGTTACAAAAATCCTGTTAATTCATGTATTCATTTATTCAGCAGGCTTTCATTTGGCACCTTTTATGGTTCAAGTATGGGTTTGGGTAGATTCCGGGAGTGGGTGATGGACAGGGAGGCCTGGCGTGCTGCGTTTCATGGGGTCGCAAAGAATCGGACACGACTGAGCGACTGAACTGAACTGAACTGAGCTGATGGTTCAGGTGTGCCCGGAGCTGACACTCAGAGAGGCACTCAGCCTCTCTCCGTATAGGCTAGTCTAGGGGAAGAAGATGGAACCTGATCAGTCTTCTAAATATAATGTGCCAGAGGAGAGAGGAGGGCCAAGGGGAGCCATGCATCTCAAGGGCATTCTCCTACCCAGGAAGGCCCAGGAAGTGTTTTTGGAGGAAGAAGCAATTGAATTGAGTTCTGAAGGATGGATAAACCTGAAGCAGGGAAAGAGTAGCTGGTCTCTAAGGAAGAGACTATTTGATTTTAGAGGTTGCTGAGACTCTGGCTGTTTAAATGGCTTCTGTAAGATATATGGAAAGTAAGTGCCTGAGTTGGGGTTTGAACCCTGAGTCAATATTGGAGCATTTTTAAAAATTATTTTCTAACTGAAGAATAATTGCTTTACATAATTTTGTTGTTTTCTGTCTAACCTCAACATGAGTCAGCCATAAGGTATACAAATGTCCCTTTCCTCTTGAACCTCCCTCCCACCTCCCTCCCCATCCCACCCCTCTAGGTTGCTATAGAAACCTGTTTGAGTTCCCTGAGTCATACAGAAAATTCCCACTGGCTATCTATTTTACACATAGTAATGTAAGTTTCCATGTTACTCTTTCCATACATTTTACCCTCTCCTCCCCTCTCCCCATGTCCATAAATCTGTTCTCTATGTCTTTCTCCATTGCTGCCCTGTAGATAAATTCTCCAGTACCAGCTTTCTAGATTCCATATATATGCGTTAGTATACTAAATTTAACTTTCTCTTTCTGACTTACTTCACACTGTATAATAGGCTCTAGGTTCATCCACCTCACTAGAACTGATTCAAATGTGTTCTTTTTTATGGCTGAGTAATATTCCATTGTGTATATGTACCAAAACTTCTTTATCTATTCATCTGTCGATGGACATCCAGGTTGCTTCTGTGTTCTAGCTATTGTAAATAGTGCTGCAATGAACAATGGGATATATGTGTCTTTTTCAGTTTGATGATGGCCATTCTGACCAGTGTGAGGTGACATCTCATTGTAGCTTTGATTTGCATTTCTCTGATAATGAGCGATGTTGAGCATCTTTTCATGTCTTTGTTAGCCATCTGTATGTCTTCTTTGGAGAAATGCCTGTTTAGGTCTTTTTCCCACTTTTTGATTGTGTTGTTTGTTTTTCTGGTATTGAGTTTTATGAGCTGCTTATATGTTTTGGAAATGAATCGTTTGTCAGTTGTTTCCTTCACTATTATTTTCTCCAATTCTGAGGGTTATCTTTTCACCTGATTTGTACTTATTTTGCTGTGCAAAAGCTTTCAAGTTTAATTAGGTCCCACTTGTTTACTTTTGTTTTTATTTCCATTATTCTAGGAAGTGGGTCATAGAGGAACTTGCTTTGATTTATGTCATCGAGTGTTCTGCCTATGTTTTCCTTTAAGAGTTTTATAGTTCCTGGTCTTACATTTAGGTCTTTAATCCATTTCAAGTTTCTCTTTGTGTATGGTATTAGGAGGTGTTCTAATTTCATTTTTTTTGCATGTAGCTGTAACATTGGAGCTTTTAACTGGTACATAACATGCCTGGGAGTACAGCACCAGGCCACAAGTAGGAGGAGCCAGGAGAAAGAAATGTGACAGAACACAGCAGATCTATCCCCCAGTATGGAGGGGAGAAAGAGTAGGTAGGGCGGGCTGGCTTTAGGCCTTTAGGGAACAGTAAGGCCTGCACCAAACCTGTCTTAACAGTGGAGCTCCCTGAAGGAGAAGCAGCTTCCACAGCATGACTGACTCACTCCTAAAATGCCTGGAGACCTTTAAAGAGGGTTGACACATTGTTAAGTTGCACTTCTAGTAATGAATTAATGATCTCAGTTTAGAAGATTTGAAGGGAAGTGGTAGAAAGTTACAAGAGGTAATAGGTCCACCTTCTGAACATCACAGCCTGAAAAGAAAGTGGTGACATTGATCCCACTAATACTTTCCTCATCTACTTATTTATTGTATGTATTTACTCTGTAGAACAGCTAACAGGAAACTGCATGACAGTAACGATGGCCTGAGGAGTGCCCTTGAGAACAGCTACAGCAAGTTCAACAGATCCTTGGTATGCAACAGGATTTTATAACGCATTTTCTCCTTTCTTGTGGTATTTTGATTAAAAAATTGTGTATTTTCTTAGAACTTATAAGAATGAGAAAACAATTTCATATAATAAAAGGAGGCAAGATTTTCCCAAATTAAAAAATATGCCACTCCTCTGCATAAATAAATGTGTAGATGTTTGCCAACTCTTTGTTCAATGTTCCAGAAAACCAGAGAAAGCTGTAAAAGGTGTGGCCTGGGTGCTGGAAAAGCTTACAGTATGGTAAGGACTTGAGGAGGCTTCCCAGGTGGTGCGAGTGTAAAGAGCCCTCCTACCAATGCAGGAGACATAAGAGACCTGGGTTCAATCACTGGGTCAGGAAGATCCCCTGGAGGAGGAAATGGCAACCCACTCCAGTTTCCTTGCCTGGAGAATCCCATGGACAGAGAAGCCTGGCGGGCTACAGTCCATGGGGCTGCAAAGAATCGGACACAACTTTGCACGCATGCAGTGAGTTAGGATGTGCACAGATACCACTAATATAAAAAGTGAGATGTCTCAGTTCAGTTCAGTTCACTCGTGTCCGACTCTTTGCAACCTCATGAATCATGAATCGCAGCACGCCAGGCCTCCCTGTCCATCACCTACTCCTGGAGTTTACCCAAACCCATGTCCATTGAGTCGGTGATGCCATCCAGCCATCTCATCCTTTGTCGTCCCCTTCTCCTCATGGGGGTACAGATAACTATTTCCCTGTTGAGAGAACAGGGAGAGTGCTTCTGGCTGAGGAGTTTATTTAGACTCTTTGGTTGTTCTTTGTGGTTATGAGATCACCAGAGTGGAGACCTTGGGCTTTTAAACCCTCCTACAGAAACAGGCTAAGTCCCATTTAGAATTTTGAGGACCTTTTCCAAACCAGAAAGCCTCTTCCCTGACTTTTGGAGGTTTCAAGATTGGGGTTCCAGTGCCAAAGCTCTGGGTGTCGATGAGTCAGTCACTAAGTCAAATGATGATTAGAGAAGAGACTAATCCAAAGCTGGTACTGTTAGGGTCCTGGCAAATCTGGGAGCCAGGATGCCCCTTGAGGGCTTATATGGCAGGGTTTGGAATTCAGACATGAAGAGAGAGAGAGTCCTTTGGGCATTTGTTGCACTTTTTCCCTTGATATCTGTGCTTACATTTTCTCATGTAGGATACCAATTTCTCAATTACATTAATAAATTAGTGTGCTACAGGTTTTTTTCAATGTATATAAAATTTTTAAATGGAATGACAAAATATTACTTCTGTATTTTATGTATTACAGCGCATAAATAATATCTCACCAGGGAATACAATTTCTAGAAGCAGTCCTAAATTTAATCTTCATTCTCTTCAACCTCTGGGCTATGACAGGTATGTTAACACCTTTTAAACTTTTTGTTTGAATTCTAGATCAAGGTTAAAAGGAAAGTAGATTTCCTTAGAGCTGAATTAAAAGAATATATTTGGGGCACTAATTTTTATTTTCTACTATCTGTAAATTTTTGAAACATAAAATATGTAAAGATTAAGTGTTTTGAAATGTTTCAGAGAGGGCCAAGTGATTTCTTTAAGATGTTATCATGACTTGGTTTTGTGTATGCTCACCCTTACTTCATCCCTATTATTTCTATTGTTTTTTAGAAGTGCCCTTTGTAAGAGGTGTTTCAGGGAAGCCAGTGGAACTACCATATGTGATGTTGTGGTGTATGATCTTAAGACTCTTGGAACAATCTGTAAATGTTTAGCAGCTCAGTATATATTGTGCAAGTATGTTCAAGGAAAGGGAAACTTTCAAAACAAATAGAAATGTAGAGAGTAGATGCTTATGAGTTAATGTACTAAAGGAGTCACAGAGGCTTTCCAGAAGTGAGAATTTAGCTCTATTTTTAATCAAATGAAGTGAAATATTGGCCCTGATATAACTTGAGATCTAGCAATGAAAACTGAAAGATTACATTTGTGTACACATGTGTGTACATATACAATAAATCCCCTATATGCAAATGAGTTCCATTCCAAGAGCGCATTCACAAGTCCAGTTTGTTCATAAGTCTAACAAAGTTTGCGTAGGTACCCAACTAATACAACCTGCTCTATGATACTATATTGTAATAGGTTTATAGTATTTTCACACAAATAATACATAAAAAGCAAACTAAAAAAATAGAGCAAACATTTTTAATTTATAATCCAGTACTTTGGAAAGTACAGTAGTAAGTACAGCAGCTGGCATACAGGGGCTGGCAGTGAGTGAACAGGTAAGAAGAGTTACTGACTGGAGATAAGAGAGGAGGTGGGAGATGGTAGATCTGAAGGATTGTCAGCGATGGGAGATGGAGGGCAATTTCACTCATGCCTGACATTGATGAAATGTATGTTCACATCTTTGAAAGTTCACAGCTTGAAGGTTCATATGTAGGAGATTTACCATACGTGTCCAGTGTTGTTACTTAGAAGGCTCATTTTGTAGTGTATCAAAATTTGATGGTAGAAGTGAGTGCATAAACTTTAGATCTCTGGCCCTCCATTTCTGATGCCACTTTCATATTTTATGTTCCTTCCCTTTTCATTTGAGAACTTTTGGGCTAAAGAGTAATGCACTTAATATCCTGGCAACAGCAAAACAGCCAGATAGCTTTTCCAGAATGTCTATTTTCAAAGGTTATTGGTGATCACTTTTAATAAAATTTTATCCAAATATCAGAATTTTTTCACTGATTTGTGAAGTAAAAAATTTTAATGGTATCTCTAGGCATCTTGCTTTTCTGTTTTTGAGAAATAGATATTACTTTTTAAAATATATGGGTGTGATGCTGCTTTTGTTTACTAATGCTTAAGGTTAGTTCTAAGCAAATAAGGGAAAGGCTAGATTACTGAAAAGTATTTCAGAAATTTCACCATGATTCATTTTTGAAAATAGTGGACACCATGAATAAGGCTGGTGGTACTAAACAAAGAGCTCCTTAGCAATATGACTAAGGGACAAAGTCATCACATCCCATTGCCTCGAAGTGATAGGAATGTAGCACTTCTGTGCTCATAACTTTGAACAGTCACTAGAGGGCCACCATGATCCAGACTGATGTTCCTTTTGGGGGCGTTGCAGTCTGATATAGGAAGTTAATATTTTCTTTTCTTTTTGATGCTAATGTAAAACTTATTAGTCATCAGATCACAAGAGAAAAGAACAAAAGAAGAAGAAAGGGAAAAAAGACCTACAAAACAAGACCAAAATAATCTTGAAAATGACAATAAGTTTGTTTTTGTTTGTTTGTTTAGTTACTAAGTCATATCCCAGCTCTTTTCCAACCTCATGGTCTGTAGCCTGCCAGGCTCCATCATCCATGGGACTTCTGAGGCAAGAATCCTGGAATGGCATGCCATTTCCTTCTCCAGGGGATCTTCCTGACCCAGGAATCGAGCCCATGTCTCCTGCTTGGCAGGAAGATTCTTCACATTGATAATTACTTTAGCACATTATTGACCAGAGACATATTTATATGTCTTTTGTTACCCAAACATTACTGACAAGAGACATTTTGACGTTCACTTACAGAACCAATCCCCAGCCATAGATGTTAGTTTCTGCTAAAATCACCCTGTCAATAATGTGGTAATGTAAATGGACTAAATACTTCAACCAAAAGACTTAGAGTGACTGAATGGATATAAAAACAGGACCCATATATGTGCAGCCTGCAAGAGACTCACTTCAGATCTAGAGACACACACAGATTGAATGCGAAGGGATGGGAAAAGGATTTCCATAAATATGAAAATCCAAAGAAGGCTGGAATAGCAGTACTTATATCAGACAAAATAGACTTTAAAATAAAGACTATAAGACAAAAAGGATACTACATAATGATCAAGGGATGAATCCAAGAAGATACAACAATTGTAAATTTATCTAAACCCAACACAGCGAAAGTGAAAGTGAAGCCTCCCAGTCGTGTCCGACTCTTTGCGACCCCATGGCCTGTAGCCTGCCAGGCTTCTCCATCCATGGGATTTTCCAGACAAGAATACTGGCGTGGGTTACCATTTCCTTCTCCAGGAGAACTTCCCGCCCCAGGGATTGAACCCAGGTCTCCCGCATTGTAGGCAGACGCTTTGCCGTCTGAGCCACCAGGGAAGTCCAACATAAAAGCACCTAAATATATAAGCAAATATTAATGGACAAAAAAGGAAAAATCAACAGTAACACAATAGTAGTGGGGGACTTTAACTTGCATCAATGGACAGCTCATTCATATAGAAAATCATAAGGAAACATAGGCCTTAAATGACACAATAGATCAGATGGCTTAATTGATATAGCGAGAACGTTCCATCCAAAAGTAGTAGAATACACATTCTTTCAAGTGTACATGGCACATTCACCAGGATAGATTATATGAAAACAAAACAAGCCTCAGTAAATTTAAGAAAACTGAAATCATATCAAGCATCTTTCCAACCACAACACAATGAGATGAAATCAACTACAAGAAAAAACTGTAAAGAAACAAAACACATGGGAGACTAAGCAATATGCTATGAAAGAACCAATCGATCACTGAGAAAGTCAAAGAGGAAATCAAAAAAATACCTAGAGGTAAATGAAAACTAAAAAATAATGATCCAAACCTATCGGACACAGCAAAAGGAATTCTAAGAGGAAAGTTTATACAATACAAGCTTACCTCAGGTAACAAAAATTGCAAATAAACAACCTACCCTTACACCTAAAGCAATGAGAAGGAACAAACAAAATCCAAAGTTGGTAGAAGAAAAGAAATTATAAAGTTCAGAGCAGAAATAAATGAAATAGAAACTAAAAGATATAGAAAAGATCAGTGATACTAAAAGCTGATTCTTTGAAAAGATAAAATTGATAAACCTTTAGCCAGATTCATCAAAAAAAAAGAGAGAGGGTCCAAATCAATAAAGTCAGAAATGAAAAAGGAAAAGTTAGAGCCAATACCACAAAAATACAAAGGATTATAAGAGACTACTACAAACAACTATATGCCAGTAATGTGAACAACCTAAAAGACAGATTGGATTGTCCAGAAATGGACAGATTCTTAGAAAGGTACAGTCTCCCAAGAATGAACTAGGAAGAAATAGAAAATATGAACAGAACAATTACCAGTAATGAAATTGAATTCATAATTTTAAAACTCCCAACAAACAAAAGTCCAGGACCAGATAGCTTCAGAGGTGAATTCTGCCAAACATTTAGAGAAGAGTTAGCAATTATCTTTCTCAAATTAGTCCAAAAAATTGCAGAGGAGGGAATACTTCCAAACTCATCCTATGAGACCCCCATCACCCTGATACCAAAACCAGACAAAGGTATCACTAAAAAAAGAAAATTATAGGCCAATATCACTGATAAACATAGATGCAAAAAAATCTTCAACAACAAAAAAAAATATTAGCAAACCAAATCCAACAATACATCATGATCATACATGATCACACATCATGATCAAGTGGAATTTATCCTAGGGATGCAAGGATTTTTGTTTCAATGTGATATAGCACATTAACAAGTTGAAGAATGAAAACCATATGATCATCTCAATAGGTGGAGAAAAAGCCTTTGACAAAATTCAGCATCCATTTATGATTGAAAAAACTTTCCAAAAAGTGGGCATAGAGGAAACATACCTCAAAATAATAAAGGCCATATATGATGGACTCACAGCTAATATCATACTCAGCATGAAAAACTGAGAACATTCCTCTAAAATCAGGAACAAGGCAAGGATGCCCACTCTTGCCACTTTTATTCAGCATGATCTTGGAAGTCCTATCCATAGCACTCAGAGAAGAGAAAGAAACAAAAGGATTTCAGATTGGAAAGAAAGAAGTGAAACTCACTGTTTGCAGATGACGTGAAACTATACATAGAAAATCCTGAAGATGCTACCAGAAAACTGTTAGGTTCATCAATGAATTGGTAAAGTTCCTGGATACAAAATTAATTTGTATATTAATTTAATTAATGTAATTTGTATATTACATTTGTAATATTGTGATAATATAATAGTACATAATATACAAATTTGTATGTTTTGTAATTTGCATATTAATTTTGTATCAATTTAACAGAAATCTGTTGCATTTTTATACACTAACAGTAAACTATCAGAAATTGAGATAGTTTCATTTACCATCTCATCAAAAAGAATAAGAATACCTAGGAATAAACCTACATAAGGAAGTAAAAGACTTGTCTTGGAAAACTGTAAGACAGGGATCCCCAACCCCAGTCTGTAGCCTGTTAGGAACCGGGCTACACAAAAGGGGGTGAGTGGCAGGGGAGTGAGTGGGGCTTCATCTGTATTTATAGCTCACAGTACTGCCTGAGCTCCGCCTCCTGGCAGATCAGCAGCAGCATTAGATTCTCATAGGAGTGTGAACCCTAACCCTAAAGTCAAGGCAAAATATCCTGAGGTTGCCACAAAATAGAAATAAAGTGCACAATAAATGTAATGTGCTTGAATCATCCTTAAATCATACCTCCCACTCTGGTCCATGGAAAACTTGTCTTCCAATGAAACCAGTCCCTGGTACCAAAAGGTTGGGGACTACTGCTATAAGACACCAATGAAGGAAATTGAGGATAACACAAATAGATGGAAATATATACTGTATTCTTGGATTGGAAGAATTAATTTTGTTAAAATGACCAGTGTAATCTACAGTCAATGTAATCCCTAACAGTGTAATCCTTAACAAAATACCAAAGGCACTTTTCACAGAACTAGAGCAAATAATTTTAAAATTTGTGTAGAAACACAGGGCAACCTGAATAGCCAACATCATCTTGAAAAAGAATATCAGCTGGAGGAATCATACTCACAGATATCAGACTATGCTACAAAGTTGCAGTCATCAAAACAGACACATACATAGATCAGTGGAATAAGAGAATCCAGAAATAAATCCATGCACTTATGGTCAATAAATCTATTACAAGGAGGCAAGAATATACAATGAAGAAAACACAATATCTAAAGTAGCTGTCCTGGGAAAACCAGATAGCTTTATGTAAAAGAATGAAATTAGAACATTCTCTAACACTATATACAAAAATAAACTCAAAATGGATTAAAGACCTAAGTATAAGATCAGGCACCATAAAACTCATAGAGGAATATGTAAGCAGAACACTCTGATATAAATCATAGAATAGTTTTTGGATCTGTCTCCTAAAACAAAGGAAATAAAAGCAAAAACAAACAAATGGGACCTAATTAAACCTACAAGCTTTTACACAGTGAAGGAAACTATCAGAAAATCAAAGACAACCCACTGAATGGCAGAAAATATTTGGAAATGATACGACCGATAAGGGGTTAATATCCAACATACATAAACAACTTATACAACTCAACATCAAAAAAACAAAGAACTGAATTAAAAAATTGGCAGAACTTAATAGACATTTTTCTAAAGAGGATTCTAATGGCCAATAGGCATATGAGAAGATGCTCAACATCACTAATTATCAGGGAAATTCCAATCAAAAACACAATAAGATATCACCTCACACCTGTCAGAATGGGTATCATCAAAAAGAACACAAATAACAAATGTTGATGAGTATGCAAAGAAAAGGGAACTCTCTTACACTGTTAGTGGGAATGTAAATTGGTTGCAACCACTGTGGAAAACAGTATAGAGGTTTCTCAAAAAACTAAAAATGGAACTATATTATGACCCAGCAATTCCACTTCTGGGTATGTATCTGAAAAAAAAAAACCAAATTCTAAAAGATACATGCAGCCCAGTGTTCATAGTAGCATTACAGTAGCCACAATATGTAAGCAACCTAAGTGTCCATCAGCAGATGAATGGATAAAAAGGATGTATACAGTGAAATACAACTCATCCATTAAAAAAAGGAATGAAATTTTTTGCCATTTGCAGCAACATGAATAGACTTGGAGGGCATTATGCTAAATGAAATAAGTCAGACATAGAAAGATAAATACTGTGTGATTTTTCTTATATGTTCAGTTCAGTCTCTCAGTTGTGTCCGACTCTTTGTGACCCCATGAACCACAGCACGCCAGGCCTCCCTGTCCATCACCAACTCCTGGAGTTCACTCAAACTCATATCCATCGAGTCGGAGATGCCACCCAACCATCTCATCCTCTGTCGTCCCCTTCTCCTCCTGCCCTCAATCTTTCCCAGCATCAGGGTCTTCTCAAATGAGTCAGCTCTTTGCATCAGGTGGCCAAAGTATTGGAGTTTCAGCTCCAACATCACTCCTTCTAATGAACACCCAGGACTGATCTCCTTTAGGATGGACTGGTTGGATCTCCTTGCAGTCCAAGGGACTCTCAAGAGCCTTCTCCAACACCACAGTTCAAAAGCTTCAATTCTTCGGTGCTCAGTTTTCTTTATAGTCCCACTCTCACATCCATACATGACCACTGGAAAAACCATAGCCTTGACTAGATGGACCTGTGTTGGCAAAGTAATGCCTCTGCTTTTTAATATGCTATCTAGGTTGGTCATAACTTCCCTTCCAAGGAGTAAGCGTCTTTTAATTTCATGGCTGCAATCACCATCTGCAGTGATTTTGGAGTCCAGAAAAATAAAGTCTGACACTGTTTCCACTGTTTCCCCATCTATTTGCCATGAGGTGATGGGACCGGATGCCGTGATCTTAGTTTTCTGAATGTTAAGCTTTAAGCCAACTTTTTCACTCTCCTCTTTCACTTTCATCAAGAGTCTCTTTAGTTCTTCTTCAATTTCTGCCATGAGTGTTGTCATCTGCATATCTGAGGTTATTGATATTTCTCCTGGCACTCTTGATTCCAGCTTGTGCTTCCTCCAGCCCAGCATTTCTCATGATGTACTCTGCATATAAGTTAAATAAGCAGGGTGACAATACACAGCCGTGATGTACTCCTTTTCCTATTTGGAACTAGTCTGTTGTTCCACGTCCAGTTCTAACTGTTGCTTCCTGACCTGCATACAGGTTTCTCAAGAGGCAGGTCAGGTGGTCTGGTATTCCCATCTCTTTCAGAATTTTCCAGTTAATTGTGATCCACACAGTCAAAAGCTTTGGCATAGTCAATAAAGCAGAAATAGATGTTTTTCTGGAACTCTCTTGCTTTTTCGATGATCCAGTGGATGTTGGGACTTACGTGTGTCTAAAAAATGCAACAAACTAGTGAATATAACAAAAAAGAAGCAGGCTTAAAGATATAGAGACCCAACTAATAGCTATTAGTGGGGAGGGGAGGAAGGAGCAATATAGGGGTAGGGTAGTAAAAGGTACAAACTATTAGGCTTAAAAAAAGCTATAAGGATATATTATACAACACAGGGAATATAGCAAATATTTTATAATAACTATAAATGGAGTATATAACCTTTAGAAATTGTGAATCACTATATTCTGTGCCTCTAATTTATATAATAGTATACATCAACTATACTTCAATTAAAATTTTTTTAATCAAAGCATCCTGTAAATTTAGTTTTATTTATTGCTTTTGTGTCCTTATTTTAAGTTGTATATTTGTTTTAGTTTTGTGTTTTTTCTAAGAACTCTAAAATATATAATAACTTGTGTTATATTTTTACATATTTAATTGTAATGAAAATATTCTTCAGGCAGAAAGACTAGTTTACTTTTGAAAGGTTATGTATATTAGTTGAGTTTGAGAAAGTCTGATCTATACCTATATTTTTAATTTAGATTCTATATGAAGGTGTCTTTTCAATCAGGATTTTTTTCTCTGTCATTCCTAATCAGAAATACAAATAGGTTAAAAAAAAATGTTCTGACTAATCATAACATGGAGCTGATTTTGCACTATATTATAATGAAATGGTTTCTTTAGGTTCCTTACAGCTTGACCCAAAATCAGTGTTAGAAGGAGAGTTTCATAAAAGATGAGACAAATTTTTAAAAAATGTACACACATTTAGCTAAGCAGATTGAGATATGGTATGAAATTCCTGTCGCAGGAGAAAGACTTTATAATTGAGCAACATATTTACAGAAAGTTAGGTTATTAAATTGCCTTTTTAGTTAATTTTAAACATATGCTAATGATACCAAAATATTTTTGACTTCTCAGGTTTATATGGCTTATATTTCTGTAAAGATTACCCTTTCTTGTGTAAGAATAGTCATCTGAGAATAGTTCTCATATTTCACATGAGAATATTTCTCATATCTGGAGATCTATGTTTCCTTCCCATTTCCTCTTTCTGATGATATCATATATGCCAAGTGGCTAGTATGGTTCCCAATGTGTAGCAGGGACTAAATAAGTTGTTACTCTTGTTTTATTTCAGTATAAACTTAGATACTTATGGGAATCAAATGGAAAAGCAAAATAAAATGAGAAGATGAACATTTATAAAATATTGGAGTCACCCAAGTGGAAAGATGCATAAAAGTCGGGATTTCTAGTTTTTCTATGGTGCACCTTCCTAGGAAACTCCTCCTATCAGAGTCTTTCCAGAGCTGTCAGCACTTGGTGGCAGAAAACTCATCTCATATGCCAAACCATTCCAGGGTAGTACATTTCTAACTGCCTGTCATTTTTCACCATGTTGATTAGAGATGTGACTCCCGGAAAAGTTTATCAGTTGGCCCTTAGTGTCAACTCTTCCAAGTATTTGAGGAGATAAGAAACAATTACAACTTAAGCCAAGTGCACTGAATCATTTCTCAGACCGAAGGGTTATAAGTCTCAAGTCACAATAGAGATAATATCCAGAAATGAACACACTGTTCAGAATATGGTCCGGCCACATTAGAATATAAAGGTTCCCATGTTCTGTATACGTTTTTGTTAACACAACTTGAGATTGCATTTACATCCTGGACATTCTGATTCTTTTTGTATAAGGAAGGTGACTTTTTTTTAATGACTTCCTTTATTAAATGTTTGACTTGACTTAAATGGCTTTATCTTAATCAATTTTTGCATAGAATGAACTGTTTCTTTGAGTTTTTTATTTCCCCTGATGCTTAATCATGGAATACATTATAGCTCTTGGTAAGAACAAAGATATTGGTCTTGATTCCATTGGTCTGATTCCATTGCTCTGTCATCTTGAGCATCACCAGCCCTCAGGTAGAGCAGTCCTCTCCTTTATTACCAGGTCATCCCGCTCTTCCTACATGGATGAGGACTGTGATTCGCTGGCCCTCTGTGACCCCATGCAGAGGATGAATTATGATGTTGACAGCCTGCCTGAGAGCTGCTTCGACAGTGGCTTGTCTACCCTGCGAGATTCCAACGAGTATGACTCGGAGGTGGAGTACAAGCACCAGAGGGGATTCCAGAGGTCGCACGGCATGCAAGAGAGCTTTAGGGGTGATGCTTCGGACACGGACGTAAGCCCTGAAGTCACTGCTTCAAGTCCTAGGCCTGCTCTCCTTTCTTCCACAGAAATATATATCCCACCCTGTTTGAGCTTTACCTGTCATGGGCATTGTTTCAAAGGTTATACACGTGAAACGTAGTTGGGAGAACATTTTTCTCTACCAAGTTAGGTAAAAAGGAAAACAGATTTCCTTTTGTGGCCTCTCTGTTCCCTAACAGCATTGACTGTTGATTCAGCAGCATACTTTTCTTCTTTTTATTTCACAATGTATGTGTGTAATGAAAGACTTTCTTTGTTTTTTAATGACCGACTTAAAAAAAAAAAACAAAAAACAGGTTCCTGATATAAGGGATGAAGAGACTTATGGCTCAGAAGGCATGGCTTCCATCCTGGACTGGAAGCCCGCAGGATCTGCTAGTGAAGGCAGCCTCATTAACCCCTCAAGAAAGCCCATCTCTGCGCTTTCACCACAGGTATGTGGTTTCAGAGACACTTCTCTTCATGAACACTCTTCATTTTCATGTCATATAAGTTACTAGGAAGAAAGCGGGCACTGCCTTTGTCACCCACTGTGGCTTCCTTCCCCTAGACAGACATGGTGGATGAGAGCCATAAATCTTCCAGCTCGCAGAAAGCTTACAAGATTGTACTGGCCGGGGATGCTGCAGTGGGGAAGTCGAGTTTCCTCATGAGACTTTGCAAGAATGAATTTCGAGGAAACACAAGTGCTACCCTGGGTACGGTTCTTTTTCAGAGGATAATGGGAAAATGACCTTCTTTAGGTTGATTCTATTTTCTTTAGGTATTATATTCACAGACCCACAGATCTCTCTCTTTTCCCTCTGTATGATACATATGTACATACATGTGTCAGTGCTCAAGTGTCCTTCTCTATAGAATAGTCCTCTGCTTTGGCCAAGGACTAAATTTGGGAAAGGAAGACTAACAAGGGACTGAGGTATCTGCTTACCCAGTGAGATCAACCAAACCGAGTTTAATGCCAGAGATGACAGATTCATTTATTCAGCAAGCACTTCTGAAGTCCTACTGTGAGCCACGTACTGTTATAGGCACTGCTTAGTCGCTAAGTTGTATCCGACTCTTTGAAACTCCATGGACTGCAGCTGCCAGGCTCCTCTGTCCATGGGGATTCTCCAGGCAAGAGAATCCTGGAGTGGATTGCCATGCCCTCCTCCAGGGGATCTTCCCAACCCAGGTCTCCTTCATTGCAGCCAGATTCTTCACCGACTGAGCCACCAGTAAAGCCCTACAGGCACTACAGATACACAGTAAACAAAGTCAACTAGATCCCAGCCCACAAAGAGGGAAATGGATGAGAAATACATTTTAAAAAACAAGGTTCGGGAGAAGTGCCCTTTGGCACAGGATGCCCAGGGAAAGCCTTTCTGATCAGGTATCACTTGATGTTGATAAAGTGATCTTACCGATGGCCAGTTTGTCATCATGGTCAGAATTATAGCCAAGTGTATGTTCCCTCTGCTCCCTCACAATGGAACACATGAATGATACCTCTCAGAACAAGGAAAAGTAGTCTCCTCATTTCCACATTTGCATAATCAGTAAAAGGAGTTGAACATATGCAAATCATCATTTATTCTTCTTCTTTATCTAAAGAACTCTTATTTTCATAACCAGAAACCCTAAAACAGATTGGTTACCCTCTTCACAATGGATATCTTTGTAAATTTATGGCACTGTTATAACCCTTCAAGATTCACTTCAGTTTGAGTCATAAAAAGCCTAAAGTATTTGGTTAAGTTGCTAGGTATATATACCTGGCATATATACACACCATATACATGTACTTATATACATATGCATACACACATGGATATACCTGCATATATACATAGGCATATTTGTGTGCATGCACACACATAAAACTAAGTCCATCTAATTACGTGAAAACAGAACATAGATTTTCCTTTTGTCCACAGATTAAATCCTTCCCCAAGTCAGCCAACCTGTGATGCGCATGTGTGGTCTGGCTTATAATTAGTAGGTGAAGGTCACTCTCATTGAAGGCCAGGTTCTTTCCTCTGTCTTGCTGAACTTCACCTTTTTGGCTTTTGTCTCATCTAAAGAGGGCTTGAAAAGTAAAATCCAATGGAATTATTTACATTGTGTTCTCCATGTTCTCTTATATTCTTTTTCAGGAGTTGATTTTCAAATGAAAATGCTCATTGTAGATGGAGAACGGACAATACTGCAGCTTTGGGATACAGCTGGCCAGGAGAGGCAAGTACTTTCCCCAGTGCTTTGAATTCTGCCGGGGTTTGCATGCACAAGCCTTGTAAGACGTTCAGTGTCTTTTGTGTTCATGATAATATAGTTCTGCTATAGTGTTAGAATTTTAAGAATGCTCGCTTTTTTCCACATCCTCTCCTTCTTCACTCATCCATCATCAGTCATGTGAGTCCCTCCAAGCTCCCTTTGAACTGGTGACCCATTGGGAAAAAGAGAGTGCCCTATCCTAATGAGAGAATTGTCAGTGAGGCAGCACTCCTGAAAGTGGCAACAGTTGAGCAGCTGGGGAGCTGGGGCACCAGAGAAGATGGAGAAGAGGACCCGTCAGCTCCTCTGTTCAAGGGCAGAGACACAAACTAAACTGCAGAGTTGCATATGGCGACAGACAGTACCCTCTCTCTTTCATTGCTGATGGACAGAAGTGTGAAGCATAGGTCTTAATCTTATCTACCTCTTTGGGAACAGACTGAACCTGGTTGTGCAGCAAAAAAGTTTGGGGGCACCTGTCAGCCTCTGTCATGGGGCACCAGTTAGGGTGTTCAGATTCAGCAGTGAACAGACGCACAAATACCTGCCCACATGGAGCTCATATTTTCTAGCAGCATTTAAAAAATGTGTGGTTGACAGGGCCCTATTTAAGATCTTGCAAAATATTATACTTGGTTGAGTTAGGACATATAGATTGAGGTGTGCTCTTCCCCTGGGAAGCCCCCCACACCCCCTGTGTGTACCCTGTGGTGTTCCACATGGTTGGGTCTTCTTCCAGCCACCCACAGGACTCCCTACCCACCACCCAAAAAATAATTTTGCTCGGATGTGCCTCTCCTTCCATATTTCTCTGTGTCCCACACCTGGGTTCCAGTAGCTTGTTGCAGAGGCTGACATTTTTAGAAGTTACGCTCTCAACCTTGTCCTGACTAGGTGCTGGGCTTTGTAGGCTTTCTTGAGATTGTTTGGTGGAGAAAATGATTGACTTTTCTAAATCACTAGTGCAGATTCTTCTCCTGTTACCTTTCACTAGGTTATTCTAGGCCTCTGGGATGACTATTTCACAGAAATACGTTGCCATTAGATTCTTCTCAATTGGGCTTGGTTTTTCTTTTTAATATTTTAATTAATTTATTTATTTGCTGCATCGGGTTTTAGTTGTCATGTAGGATCTTACATTGCAGCACATAGACACTCTAGTTGTGGCACAAGAGGTTAGCAGTTTCCCCTAGGCTTAGTTACTCTGAGGCATGTGGGATCTTAGTTCCCTGACTAGGGACCGAACCTGCGCCCCCTACATTGCAAAGCAGCTTCTTAACCACTGGACCACCAGGGAAGTCCCAAGGCTTGCTTTAAAGATGAGGGGAGAAAAAAAGTGAGCATAAAAGAGATGAAGAATGAGGCAACACCAAACTGACTGACTGATTAGAACTGTTACCTTCATGCTTTTTTCCAGATTCAGAAGCATTGCCAAGTCTTACTTCAGAAGAGCAGATGGTGTTTTGCTGCTGTATGATGTTACGTGTGAGCAAAGCTTTCTTAATGTACGAGAATGGGTAGATATGATTGAGGTAAGAAATCAAAACAGACAACAGAAAAATTATACGGGAGAGTTATAGGCTGGATCTCAGGAAATGCTGTTTCTCTTCTTTGTAAAAATGAACTCAGAAACCATTGATCCAGGCTCTCAGAAAGAACTGGATATGGGAGGCAGGGTTCCTAATAGTATTTAGCAGCACTGATCTCCTCCTTAGTAGCGGGCCAGTTCCCACAGAACCAAGGACACTAATAAAGTGAGCTTCTGAGTGTTGGTGGGAGAGGGAGAAGTTCTGGATTTTAATATGATCAGAACCCGATTGGCAGCAAGTGAAAATCCAGACAACCCAAGGAAAAGCAGTTCTCACAAACAAGAGGGTGATGGAGCTGGGTGTGCAGTGTGACTGGAGGTGTAACAGGGGCTTCCACGTGTGCTAGAAGTGTAGGTGAAATACCATCACCACCTGGTACCACCTGGTCCAAATTCTGTAGGAACCATGTTCTCAGCCTTATTCTGATTGAGATTTGGGTCTTTACATACCCAACGTACTACTAACATACGAATTGGTATTTTAAACATGTGTGATTACTATCTATGCTTTCTTTTGCTCAAATGAGATGGTGTCTTTCATCTGAGGAGCTTTCATATCCTTTGTTTCATGGTCAATAATTTTTTAAAGTAGGAAACTATTTTGACCATAGTTAATGTGCTACCAACATTATTAATCACTGTAAAACTACAGTTCAAGCCATGATTCAGTGTATTCTCTTGGGAAAAAAAAAACTAGTGGCTAATACAATTTTTCAAGTATGTCTATGATCTATAATTTTTAACAGGCATTAAGTGCAGTGGTGGCTGAACAGAGAACTGCTGCCTGATCTCAAATCTGCCTCTAGATTCTTCAGTTGGGCCTGTTTCATACCCTGTAAAATACCAAAATGTTCTCTTTCTAACTAAAGATGTAAGAAGTGACTGACTGAAAAATGGCAATAAGACTCAATGATAAATATGCATTTTGCCCAACTGAAAAATCATGACTTAAAATTATATATACATCAAAAGTATGTTGACATTTATGTAGTATTTTTATTTCACAAAATTTTCTACATGTATATTCACCTCTGTAACATATCTGAGAATGGAAGTAAATGTAACATTGTTCTCACTTTTTATGAGAAACCTGAGGCATAGAAAGTTCATGACACTGGCTTTTAGTCATTTAGAGGTTGGAGTGGAAGGGAGAATTAGACCTCCTGATTCAACACTGGCTGTTCTTTTGATGAAACTCCAGAATGAGCAGTAGGTTAAGAAAAACTTCTCCAATATCAAGAAAGGATCTCCAAGGTAGTTAGTGCATAGAGGAGAGGCATCTACTCGAGGGAACAGATGAAGCTCTGGGGAGACCGAGAGAAGAATGGATAATCTCAACTAACTCATACACATAGATATTTAAGATTTATAGCAAAACTGTTTATTGTTGAAACTTTTGGACTTGATCTCCCTTTTAAGACTTTGGATTATACTCAAGACACAAAAGGCAGGGTCAGCCATAGGGTTGAAAAAGCCTTATGTGACTAGTTATGGCCTATGCCAGGTGCCCTACTGCCATAATTTGCTTAGATAAGTAAGCACCTACTTGTGGTAAGTGATTCATTTAGCTATTGGTGTTACCTTTCATAGGGTCAGAAAAGGGAGAAAAGTGTATTCAAGATGAAATATTGAATTTGTTACTGGAGGAAAAAATGAGATGCCACTTGGCATTTGACTTTGACTTACCTCAGTGAGTCTTCACCATGGCTCACCTTTCTCATTTGGGAAAATTCTGTTGGGACAGTTTATATGGCCACTATAATATGGGTCAAAACTAACAGTGAGATAGTTCAGATGCGTGAAAAGATTGGGAAGCAGTAGAGTGTCAGTGGTGAATGGACCCTCTGAATTAATAGTTAATATACTTCAATTGAAAACCACTGGGTTAGAAAATCTTAAAATTATGGCTGTTTACCTGTCATAAATAATTTGTTGGTTGGATATTTGGGTAAAAGTTGAATGGAGACACTTGAGACGTGAGATCTCTTTCTGACTTTTACACATTCAAAAATAATTTGGGCATCCCTGTTTCGTGCATGTATTGGCAGTGTATCCATTTAAAAAAAAAGCAAAAGGCCCTATGGCCCTTTGGAGCTGTATTCTAATTAGGGAGCTGTAAAAGGCAACCAACATAAATAAATAAAATGAATGATAGGAAGTGCTAGATGTAGAAACAAAACAAGGCCAGGATAAACGGCCTTACGGTGGGACCGAGTGCTGCAGGTAGTGCAGTCAGGCTGGTCAGACCAGGAGGTCATATTTGAATCAAGACTTGAAGGAGGTGCCATTACTTACCCATGTGGCTTTGAGAAGTCTTGGCTGGCTTAAGTGAATATTTGATTAGTGGCTTCCATATGGTCCTGAGCAGTTCCCCACAGAGTGCATTTACTTAGCACATTAATGGGTGGGGTGTCTAATCTGGGGGAGGGCTTTTCATTTCCTTCCCCCCTTTGCTTTTACTGCACTCTGATGTATTCTGTTGGAGGAAAGTGGTCAGAAGAGAAAGGAAGTATAATTTTAGTTTCAAGGCTCATTTTTGATGCTACATCATGTGTGGCACCAAAGTGGGTGAGCACCCGGCTGTGTTTAGGCGCCGCAAAGAGCCATTTCCCCACACGTCAGTCACCACTGCCGCTTCGCTTGTTTAGGAGCCAAAAGGCTGGTTTTCTAGTCACATAGTCTTCTGTTCTCGTCATAGCCTGCTGAGGGGGGCTTACTGACCCCTTCATTTCACAGACAGGAAAATGGAGTCAGAAACAGCAAGAGACTTGCTGGATTTCACGCAGTCACAGCCGGTGAGCAGCCAGGTAGTGGGAGGGGTGGAGTCTCAAACTTACTTCTGCCTCTCACATCTTCCAGTCAGCCAGCCAGCTCCTCTGTGAAGGCCACGACAGTGTGCACGTGCTAACTGGGGAGCATTGTCCTGAGAAACTGGTACTTTGAATGATTGCTCATCGACCCCTCACAGGAAATATGTTGATCTTTAGGGCCTTTGTATTTTGCTTTTGTCGTAAGCCAGATAGCAGTGAGGGTGGAACTTTCAGACTCCTTTTTTTTCCCTCATAGCTGAGGGAATATTTATGTGTTTTGTACCTGGGATAATGAAGCTGGCTTGTTATCACTTCTGTTTGGAGTGAAAATTATAGCAAATTATGTGAGCACCACAGCTAAATGTAGCTCTAGGTCATGCGTCTTGAGTTTCTATCAGTTTCTATAATGGCAAGGATGATGGAGTAAGCTTGGACCTCGGCCCTCACCCTTACAACATCTTATTTAACCTCTCTGAATTTCAGTGTTCTGGTCTGGAAATGGGGGAAAGTTTGTCTCCTTTTAGAGATATTTTGAAGTTTAAAGATATCGTCTGTACACCATGTGGCATACAAGGGGCATTCAGAAATGGTAGCTGTTGTTGTCATCATCCTCATAACTTGTCCAATGTTTCATGTATGCACCATTTTCTCTTTTCTCCATGGTAGGATGCAGCCCATGAGAGCATTCCTATCATGTTGGTAGGAAACAAGGCTGATCTTCGTGACACTGCTGAAACAGAGGGACAAAAATGTGTCCCAGGGTACTTGGGAGAAAAACTGGCCATGGTAAGAGTAAGAGTGGGTCCAAACTGGAAGGGGTCTTTCACTTTTCTCTACGTGTGCTGAAAAGGGTGTTTGACAAACCTCCACCCTGTTTGATGGGTCTTCTTTCCTCACATGGACAGAATTCCCAGTGCCCCCTGTTCACCCCATGAGTGTAAATAATTAACAACAATAATTAAATCCCTTGTGGGGGTAAAACAATCATGTGATCATTTTCCCCACTGAGTATCAGTGACAAAGAAGAGGCAAAATTCTCCTGTCTTCTTCCTCACTCTTCCCCAGTTCCTGGAATCCTCCTCTCATCCTGGGATCCAGGTAAAGGAAAAAGAATGGGTGTCCTGTTTTGAAAAGTTGACTTTGGTTCCAGAGGGTCACTGTGCCAAGGGGCAGCAGATGATGCAGTATGTCACCTGGGTGACAGGGTGAAGAGAATTGGTAGACATGTTCTTTTTTCTAAGATCTGTACTCAATTAGAACAGTATAAAATTATTCTTCGTTATGCATTTGTATAAGGAATGGCCCTCATTTCTGTTCAGATTACTGTTGTGGGGCAGTGCTTATTCTCTCATCACTGTCATTGTGTCAGAATGTTTCGTGGCCCTCTTAAGACTTGTTTTACCCAAACAAGGAATCAGATGGCCCTTGGGTCAAATAAATTCTTAACCATAACAGTCTGATTTGACATAGCTATCATTGTTGTCTGTCATCATCAATAAAAGACTGCTCTATAACAGAAACAAGTGAACTTTAAAAAGAAGTTTCAATTTTCCTATTTTAAGTTGTAATTGTTTCTTATTTTAAATGTTATAACTGTGAGCCAAATATGATAAACATTAAAACTAGGCAATGAAATGTAGACAAGATCCATTCAACACATATTTAATTGTATTTACCATGTGAAAAGTACTTTATTGTGAGCTGAGCAAAGGATAGAGAACAAAAGAGACCATCCTTGCCCTCACATAGTTTACTGTCTAGGGAAGACAGACATTAAACCTATGCAATCCACTCGTCCCCCTAGAGAGCCATCACTCCTGGCCGCATGCCAATTTTATTCCTTCTCCACAATTTCTTATCAATTCCCCAAGGTTTGCTTACTTATTATGCATCTCATGTCTGCCACCCTCCTGCATCCTCAAAGGCCATCTCTATTTCACCTGATAACATCCTGACTATGAAATTCAGCAGCAGCACTGCCCATTTCTACTAGAAATAAGATTCATTTGGGGAATTATTCTAGCATTTCTGTGGATTGAGGGGGTCATGAGTAAAAGTTTCACAGTAATCTTTCCCCATTGTTTGGTTGCTCCCTTTCTCCCTGCTCCAGAGTATCCATCACATCCTCTCCCAGTCCCACACAGAAACGAGGTAAACCACACCTGGCCCCACAGCACACACAGTCCTCCTTTCCTAAAGGAGTTGTTTCCAGCTTGTTAGACAAAGACACACTTCATCAATTACAATTGTGGCAAGTGCCGTGCTGGAAAAATACATGTCAAGAGGTTTTGTAATAGGAATTCCTAATGCTGACTTTTTCAGAGTTAGGAAACAATCTTAACTTCAAGGAAGGATTACCTAAAAATTGAAAAGGTAGGTAAAAGTCAGCCTGGTGAAGGGGGTTACTAAGGATATAGGATAACCTAGGTAGTGGTAACAACAGGTGCAAACGTCCTGAAAATGAAAGTCGCTCAGTTGTGTCCGACTCTTTGTGACCCCATGGACTGTACAGTCCATGGAATTCTCCAGGCCAGAATACTGGAGTGGGTAGCCTTCCCTTCTCAGGGGATTTTCCCAACCCAGGTATCAAACCCAGGTGTCCCGCATTGCAGTCAGATTCTTTACCCACTGAACCACAAGGGAAGCCCGCAAAAGTCCTAAGGTGGGAGGAAATTTGCAGCATTGGAGAAACAGAGGGATGGCCAGGGTAGCTTGAGCGTTGTGAGGGAGAGTGGCCACTGGTAGAACTGGGAGATTGGCTGGGGCCCCATACAAGCATACCTAGGCCTTGTCAGCCAGGTTAGCGTTTCAATATTGCTTGTGAGGGATGGGAAACATCAGAAGGTCTGAAGCAGAAGAGTGGTAACAATCAATGACTATATGTATAACCACTGGGAGGTTAAATAATAGAGGGCTAGAAAATGTCCATTGGTTTTAGCAACACAAAGCCTGCTGAATCTCAATAGAAAAGGATGATAGGGTGAAGAGGAGTGTGCTAGCTGCTGGCCTAAAGGAGACATACTTCTGATGAACATTTAATTCCTGTGTGGTTACCTTAAGCTATCATTTTTATCTCTCTCAAGTTATTTGATAGAGAACATTTGGTGGCATGTGTGACTCTTGGATATAAGAACCTTAAACTATGAAATTTTGTATAGTGGGATGGGGTTTTTTTTGGGGGGACGGATGCAAGATAAAAATTCTCTTATTGGGTGGAATATTATTCAGCCATTAAAAAGAATGAATTAATACCATTTGCAGCAACACGGATGGACCTAGAGAGCATCATACTGAGTGAAGTAAGTCAGACAGAGGAGAACAATTGTATGATATCCCTTATATGTGGAATCTAAAAAGAAATTATACAAATGAACTTACTTAAAAAACAAAAACAGACTCACAAACTTTGAGAAGGAACTTATGGTTGCCAGGGGAACGCTGGGGGAAAGGGATAGTTAGGGAGTTTGCGATGGACATGTACACACTGCTGTATTTAAAATGGATAACCAGCAAGAACCTACTGTATAGCACATGAAACTCTGCTCTGTGTTATGTGGCAGCCTGGATGAGACAGGGATTTGAGGGAGAGTTGATACATGTATATGTATGGCTGAATTCCTTTGCTATTCACTTGAAACTATGACAACATTATTTGTTAACTGGATATACCCTAATAAAAAATAAAAAGTTTTTCTTAAAAAATTATTTTGACTAGGAACTGTTACTGGAATAACTAGGCTCAAACGTGGTTTTTTTTTTAAGTCTTGAAACTTTGAATCCAATTACTTAACTATTGTTTTTAGCATACTCAACAGGGGAATATTTTTATTTTATTGATTTTAAAAGTGAACATTCCAGGAAACCTAATCAAAGCTTTCATTTAATTGTATATACATATATATATATATATATATGTTTTTTTTACAGACCTATGGGGCATTATTTTGTGAAACAAGCGCCAAAGATGGTTCAAATATAGTGGAAGCTGTTCTCCATCTTGCTCGGTAAAGTTTTGCCTTATATTTGGAAAACTGAATGTAGGATTGAATTTTCACTTAGCTGCTGTACGTGTCAAATATATTGACCATAAAGTGAGTCTATATTGGGGAACACTGTCCTGTCTTTCAGTAGTGGTTGGAGAAACAGTTTCTGAAAAAACTGGTAATGCCACTTGTTCCCTGTGAACGTTGGGAAAATACCTGTACTGCCAAACAGAAGCAGGTGCATCTGAGGTGTCACTGACATTTCTGCAAAATGTCACCACAAAACTAACAGCTGACGTGTATGAATCATTTCCAGGAACCAGATTTTAAACAGAGGAGACCATTATGACTATAACTATCTATTATGACATTTTCCAAGGTAAAGGAAGAAAATTTCACAAAGCAAATTGTATATCATGCCAGTTGGAAGCACTTTGTTTACATTATTACCCAGGTAATTTTTAAGCTTAGACAATGGTGTTAATAATAAATAACATCTTGGGATGTGGATTACAATGAAAACTGCATCATTGAGGAACTTGGATTTAACTGTATTTCAGTCTTTGCAGTATTCTTAGGAAATAACAATGTTTTCTGTTAGGCTTATTTCTTCTGCTAGTTTTCTGCCACAAGTGAAAAGATGATTCTTTACTGGTCAAACAGTTTAAATATTTAAAAAAAAAAAAAGAAAGAAAGAAAGAAAAATATAAAAACGAGCGTTATCAAAATCCAGCCAATGAACTTTAATTGCTGACAAAGCAAAACCCCTTTAGGCATGTAGTTCTTTTTCTGATCATTTGTGAGATTCTGGTTTTATAAGAATTTTAACTTTAGTAGAAGGGCTCAGCACTACCTTCACCTCAGGTAGGAGGTGCTACATTTCTGCCCCAGCTGAGCAGGAAAGGAAGCTGCAGCTGAGGCGCTCTGCGTGGCTGAGAGCTTCTGCCCAGCACGCTGGAGGAGTGTAGTGTCAGGAGGCTCAAAGTCCAATCTTAAATCTGCCCCAAATAGCTGTGGAGTCTTGACTAAATTCAGCATTTCTAATCTGTAAAATTAGGGAAGGGGCTAAAGAAAATGATTCATAAGGCTTTCTAGTCCTGACAGCCTAAGATTCCATAGATAAGTGTGTTGAGTCAGCCTAGCAACCACCCTGTTTACAATGTAGCTTTACTTAAAACAGCTGTGTGCGGAAGCATTTTGATAACAAGGTCACTTCTTGTGAATCACTCATCAAAGGGCTTTTTAAATTGTTGTTGAGACCTCTAGGTTAGTTACGTTAACAATATGTTAAATAGGAAAATTATAAATAAAGCAAATCTGTAGAGCCTTTAATTTGCTTTATACCATGTCATCTGACGGTTTGTCAAAGTACCAAGTCTTAAATGAAAATGGTTTAGCTTCCACCAGTAAGATTACTTTAAAAAGTTTTACAGCCTTCAAAATGTTGTGTATAATGCAAAACATTAAATTCTTGACTTGATCTCATAAGATAGTTCCCCATGTCGTGTCTTAAAACTTGAACTAGAAAAGTTTATGGATTTGCACTGTCTGAAACAGTGTTTGTTTTTAAAGGGAGGCCATAAATGTTTGGTTAACAACCTGAATTCCTTTGCCTTTTCTTGAAAAACCTCTCAATCCCAGGAAAAGTCGTTCCTAGAAATTCAGTTTCCCTGTAGGGCTGACAGGTCGTTCATTCCAACTACTGTCCATCAGTAAGTCAGCCTGCCACCACTAGAGCCACAGACTTTAAACATTTTGCAATAGATTCAAGTACAACAGGCATCAGATTGTTCAGTGGCCTGAAATTTGAGAAACACATAAAAAGCTTAGGCTGATATATCAGTTCAGCACCATTGCTGAGCCCACTAGGTGTAAATCTGTCCATAAGACTGATTCATTTAAAATGCAGTTAAGCATATGGCAGTTTGGGGTGAGGTAATTTAGTTTTCCCAGCCTTAAACCTGTTTTAGATGTTTGGAATTGTATTTTCCTGATTCCCTTAAAGTAGGAGTGCCCGCATTTTGAGTAGATTTAAGGAAACTGAAGGCCAAGTAAAAAATACAGCCTGTTTTTCTCCCTTAATATTTGCTTTCAAGGTTCAATAATGTCTGCATTATTATGAGTGCTCAGCATGAAGGGCTTGTAGAGATATCAGGGTATGTAAGATAGGCTGTGCAATTTAAAATTAGAAAAAAAGAAGAAAAATATGACCAGGCAGCCATACGATACATAGCTGATAGGGGCCTGTTGGACCTCCCAGAAGAGAGAGATGTGAGTTGTCTTGTGAAGATGCTGTGTTTACTGTACCCATTGTACAGATAAGAAAACTGAGAATTAGAATGCTTTATCAGCTTGCTCAAAGTGACACAGATACTAAGTGGCAAAATTAGGCCTTTGCACTACTCTGAATCTCTGATTTGCCTTTTAAATGCTGGCTATGTCAGGATTCTATTCTGCACTCTCTTGCTCTTACTTTCTCTGCCTAATGTCTTCCATCCCCTTGGTTCCTAAAACTGTGTCTAGAAGGTGACTTCCAATTTTTATATTTTTAACTCCAATCTTTTTAAAAATTCCATGTTCCCACCCACCAACAAATGGAAATTCCATAGGTCTGACTGACCCAACATAGCTAAATCCTAATGTGTTTTCTTCGGTGTTCATTGGAAGGTCTGATGATGAAGCTGAAACTCCAGAACTTTGGCCACCTCATGCGAAGAGTTGACTCATTGGAAAAGACCCTGATGCTGGGAGGGATTGGGGGCAGGAGGAGAAGGGGACAGCAGAGGATAAGATGGCTGGATGGCATCACCAACTCGATGGACATGGGCTTGAGTAAACTCTGGGAGTTGGTGATGGACAGGGAGGCCTGGTGTGGGCTGCGATTCATGGGGTTGCAAAGAGTTGGACACAACTGAGCGACTGAACTGAACTGAATGTGTTTTCTATAAAATTGTTCTTCACTCTATACTCCCCTTTTCAGGAAACAATTAACATCATAATTTAAAAAAAAATAGTAACCTAGAGTCAGTCTTGACTCCTTCCTCTTTCTTCATCATCTGTCTCTAGGGGGTTCTGGGGCCCTAATGATTCAGTGACCTCTCTGCACATTTTCTTCAATCTGTCCATATTCTTTCTCTAATCAGGGTGATCTTTGTAAATAAAAATCCAGTTAATACTCTCCTGCTTGCACCCGACATTGGTGTCTGACCTACAACAAAGAACCCAGTCTCTTTTAGCAAGTGGCTATTTCTGCTTTATGGACTATGCCAAAGCCCTCGACTGTGTGGATCACAATAAACTGTGGAAAATTCTGAAGGAGATGGGAATACCAGACCACCTGACCTGCCTCTTGAGAAACCTGTATGCAGGTCAGGAAGCAACAGTTAGAACTGGACGTGGAAAACAGACTGGTTCCAAATAGGAAAAGGAGTACGTCAAGGCTGTATATTGCCACCCTGCTTATTTAACTTAAATGCAGAGTACATCATGAGAAACGCTGGGCTGGAGGAAGCACAAGCTGGAATCAAGATTGCCAGGAGAAATAGCAATAACCTCAGATATGCAGATGACACCACCCTTATGGCAGAGAGTGAAGAGGAACTAAAAAGCCTCTTGATGAAAGTGAAAGAGGAGAGTGAAAAAGTTGGCTTAAAGCTTAACATTCAGAAAACTAAGGTCATGGCATCTGGTCCCATCACCTCATGGGAAATAGATGGGGAGACAGTGGAAACAGTGTCAGACTTCATTTTTTTGGGCTCCAAAATCACTGCAGATGGTGACTGCAGCCATGAAATTAAAAGATGCTTACTCCTTGGAAGGAAAGTTATGACCAACCTAGATAGCATATTAAAAAGCAGAGACATTACTTTGCCAACAAAGGTCCATCTGGTCAAGGCTATGGTCTTTCCAGTGGTCATGTATGGATGTGAGAGTTGGACTGTGAAGAAAGCTGAGTGCCAAAGAATCGATGCTTTTGAACTGTGGCATTGGATAAGACTCTTGAGAGTCCCTTGGACTGCAAGAAGATCCCACCAGTCCATCCTAAAGGAGATCAGTCCTGGGTATTCATTGGAAGGACTGATGCTGAAGCTGAAACTCCAGAACTTTGGCCACCTCATGCGAAGAGTTGACTCATTTGAAAAGACCCTGATGTTGGGAGGGCAGGAGGAGAAGGGGACGACAGAGGATGAGATGGCTGGATGGCATCAGCGACTCGATGGACATGAGTTTGAGTAGACTTAGGGAGCTGGTGATGGACAGGGATGCCTGGCGGGCTGCGATTCATGGGGTCGCAGAGTCGTACACAACTGAGCGACTGAACTGAACTGAACAGTCCCCCAGAGCCAGATCTCACCTACCTTTCTGTTTGCATCTCTTCTTGATTCCCAAATGAATAATAATCTCTAGACACAGCAAACTTTGCCTCCAGTCATGGCCAGGTTCTTTTATTCCTCTTTGTCTCTATGCAAGCTGTTCCCTGAACCTGGAACCTTCCTTCCTCTTTAAATGAATTCCTATCCTGCCAGTAGGTCGGCTCCACTGTGCTTGTGTGTTAGCAGCTTTCAGGACCTAGTAACAATTTATTTAGAAGATATCTGGCTCTCTCTTTAGAGCTCACAGGTTGAGGATCCCAGAGCCTGGCATAAGTTGGACACTTGTTGAATGACCCAGTGGTCAAGATTTTGCATTTGTAAGCTGTACTAGTTTTCTCTTGTCACTGTATCAAATTCCTACTAACCTAGTGGTTTAAGCAATACAAATATAGTTCAGGAGGTCATAAATCTGAACCAGGCCTTATAGGGTGTTATGGGTTAAACTGTGTATCCTCCTCCTTTTCCTGAGTCTTTTGTTTCCTCATCTGTGAAGACAGTGATGCTCACCTGTCATGTGACAGTGTGTATGTTGTGTGTAATAAGGACTACATGAAAACGTGTAGCATATCGTTTATTAACTGGTCTTCAACAAGAACTAGTTTCTGTTTTCTTTCCTACTCATGGTGCAGTGGTTTTCAAAGGTTAGCACATCAGCTCCTTCTGGGGCTGTGCTGACCAGTTTAGTGGCCACTATCCACTGGAAGTGTGGTTATCCAAGCTGAGATGTGCTAGGTGTATTAAATAAATACTGGGTTTTGAAGTCAGTATTAAAATTGTAAAATACCTCACGAATATTTTTATTGGTAACAAGCTGAAGTGATAGTACTGTTGTAATACCAAGTTGATTAAAATATATTAATGAAATTAATTTCACCTACTTCTCTTTACACTTTTTACTGTGACTGCTAAAAATGTTTTAATTACATATATGAATCACATTCTATTAAATAGCACTGCTGTGCTGGGAACATGCCAGTTCCCAGGATCTGGGAACAGAGCACACAAAATGTAGTCCCCTGGAACAATCCCAGCTTTTATTTTCTGAAATTACCAGAGGAGCCTGGATCTCGCTGGAGGGGCCTTGACTGCGCTCCCTCGGGTGTTTCATGCATTTGCGGTCATGGACACGGACTGTGGCGGGGTCTGCTGTACGTTGCCCAGGTGCTCCTTCCCGTGGCATCTCAGCCCCCAGGACCTCTCTGCTGTTCTCTATCCAGTGAGGAGCCCTCGGCCTCTTACATGGGAGCTCAAAATGATCAGGCCTTATTCATGCCTCGTGTGAAAGTGCCAGCACACCATTCCCTCGCCCTTCCATTGGTCTGAGCGGTCACAGAGCCAGTCCTGAGCACAGGGGAGCAGCCCAAGCTTCATTCACCACTAGTGGGGGAATGGCAGACCCTGACAGGGAAGGTGGAATTCTCTGGGCCATCTTGGGGACAAGCTGTCACACACTCCTCACCACGTGACATTTCCATTCAGCTTGTCTAAGGTGGGACTTCCGAATGTGTGTATTTCACAAGCATCCCCGGGGTAGGAGACTTCCTTAGTGGGCTTTCACAGGATCATGGAGATCTTTGGTGCAGTGTTGCCTCTGTTAATTCTAAAAGAAATTTAGGAAGAGACAAAAGGATTTTTTGGATTTTAACCGTCTGCTGTTATCTCCATGATTAAGTATTATTACAAAATGGTTATAAAGCCATCATTGCTTTTGTTAAGCATTAGCTGCGGGTGGAAGCTAGGTTCCAGAGTCCTAAGGAATGAGCTGTGTGTGTGGCAGACTACACCATGCATAACCACAGGAGAGAGCAACAGTAGTCTGTGTGCCTGTGAGTGTGTGCACATGTGTGTATGCACCTGGGTATGTGTTTCGGTGTACGTACATGAGTGTGTAGCCTACTGTTCAGAATGCAGATGGCTGGAGCTCACCTGCATGGTTGCAATCCAAGTTCTGCCACTTCTTCAGCTATGTGACCTAAGGGAAATTTCTTAACATTTTTTGTTTGCCTTCTTTTTCTCACGTATAAAATGGGACACAATAAAGTCATATAGCTGTGAGGATTAAATGTCAACACCTACAAACCATTTAGCACCCTGTCTGGATAGCACACAGCAAGTACTTAGCAGTGCAGCTTTATTTCTACCGAGTTGTTTATGGTTCTATTTTATACCTAAATAATCTCCTTCTCTGTCTGTATGTCTCTCTTTCTCTCTCCAGGGAAGTGAAAAAAAGAACTGATGAGGATGACAGCAAATCCATTACCAATCTGAGTGGCACTAGTTCCAAAAAGTCAACCCAGATGAAGAACTGTTGCAATGGTTAATTCCAAAACATCCTTGGCCCACAAAGTCTCCATTCCCAGGGTACTGAATATACGTGACTTACTTGCTTCTTACATGAAGTGGTACATCCTACAGACACTTGGAGAGTTACAGTGTGGGGAATCTGAACTGTGCTCTCGGGTCCCTCCAGAACCTCAGCTCTTTTTTGCTGTTTCAATGAGTGATTTGGGCCCCCTGGTTACATATGCCTGTCTTAAATTTAGAAAGTCTTTTTATGCTCAGATCAAAGCTATAAAAGAAATTCACTGATATAATTAGATTCAGGGGAATACATGTAAAAAAAAAAAAAAAAGATACACTATGGTTGTGATAAAAAAAAAAAAAATAATTAGATTCATGTGGTAGATAACCAATGACATTTACTTCCCATATTCAGTACTATTGGGTTGGCCACAAAGTTCGTTCAGGTTTTTCTCAACTTTACAGGAAACCCCAAACAAACTTTTTGGCCAAGCCAACAGAAAACTAGTAAAGGGGGGTTAGCATCCTACCTTTGCTGTAAACAGCCTTCTGGTCTTGAACCTGTCACCAACCCACATTAGATCCATTTCCTCATCTGTAAACAAGCAGCTTGGCCTTTCAGGCCTCGGCGCTCTCAGCTCTGAAGCTCTTTGAGGAGTGAGAAGGAGAGTGTGATGGCCCACGGTTTATAAGGACTCTGGTCGTTCATCTTTTTAAAAAATATTTAAGTATCAGTTTTTCTCACTTCTTGTATAGAACAGAATTTAATTGTGTAGAATAGAATTTAACTGAGAAAAAAATGGCAATGTTTTATGTTCCAGTGGAGATAGAAAAATCTATTGCTTTATATATACAGAAAACATTTGGGGAACAAAAATAGTTTGTATATTAAAGAGGGTGTTTTATAATCTCAGAATACTTACAAAGACCATGGTTTGAATTCACTGCTAAAAATTCTAACGAAAAGTATAAAGCCACATGCTACTGAAAATACAATGCCCAGGAAAGTTGTCCCACTTCACTTAAAAAAAAAAAAAGGAACAGCAAGAGACTGCAGGTGCTGGTAAAAGGGAATAATTGAGAGTGACTACTAATGGGTATATAGTTTCCTTGGGGATGATGAGAATGTTCTGGAATTATATTGTGCTAATGTCGCACAACTTTGTGAATATACTAAAATCCACTAAATTGTATACTTTAAATGGTGAATCTTATGGTATGTGAACTATATATATGTATATATATAGTTTTTAAAATATACTATTTATCATTTTTCCAAATGAAAATATGCAACTTCAAACCTCCCCATGGCTTAAGAGCATAATCTCTTTTCTATAACAGATACCCTAACACCTTGGCTGTCAGCATTCACATCCTTAAATAATGAACAGTGAAAGAAATGTTATGTGTCATTTTGAAAAATCATCTCTTTTGAAGAGGAACTGTGGTTAGGGTACAGGTGAGTCAGTCCTTTGAGGTGACTCGGGACTCATCCTCACCAACAGCCTCAGGGGTTGCTCTCCTAGAAGCTGTGCTGCCTCCCTGACTTCCCCACCGAAATGTCTCCAAAAGCCAAAGGAGTCAATACCTGACCCCAGGGTAGGTCAGCGAGGCATGGTCTTTGGTTTCAATTTTCAGTTGCCAGAACCAACCAAGTTATTCCCAACCAGAGACTTGAACTTAACGTGATTCATAGGTCCAGGCCCCAAGTAGCCTGCTGAAAAAAATAATAGCTCTTATTGTACTATGCAAGCTAAAAACATCCCTCTTATAGAATTAAAGCAACTCTATTTACAATTTTTATGACCAGACCTTAAATTCTCCAAGGTGTTTTTTTTTTTTTTTTAATGACAATTGGGTAGTATATTAACAAAGCTTATAAATAGCCACAACATCCATTTAGCTTTTCAAAGTGTGCCTTCTCTCTACTGGTGATATCTAATTGGGTTTTGTTCTTTTTCACTGGGAAGTTGGTTCTGTCTTCAACAACTCTACCATGGATTCCTGTTTCCTGGTTTTTGGTCTCAGAGGGGAAAAAAAAAAGTTTACATTTTTTACTAAAAAGAATACCTTGCTGGTGGGGAACTGTCACACTGATCCAAGGAGGGATGGTTATTTTTGTGCCATGGTGCAATGAAAGTTTGACCACTGCTGTTTGCCTCGGTGGCATCTCTGGAGCCCAGGTTAGAACAGACCTAACAGACCTGTGTGTTGATATATGGTGTTCAAGTTTAGGAGTTTGATGCAGTTGCAGAAAACTGTGTTAGTATACATGTTATTGTGTCTTTATTTATTTTCCCCCAAAGTGTCTATATGTGTCTTACAATATGTATATAATAGTATATACCTTTGATACAGAAGTATTATCTTGGTCTTTGCTTCTGGACTATAGGGGCAGTAACCCAAACTGATTAGATTACATGGGTGCCTGTGATAAATGAAGCAAACATCTTTAACTATCTTAATGTGGATAAATATTTTTGCAACAAAATTCAAATTAGACTTACAGCTTTCAAATTAGACTTATAGCTCTGGTTAGAGATCCTATTTAAAGAAAAGCTACTGATAGCTCTTTCACTGCCCTGCTAGGAAACTAAGTTTATTATCAACATTTGATTTTATGAAGCTGTTCCCAAATTTAGAGTTTATTTTTGGTAATAATAAAAACAGCTAGTGTTTTTAACTTGAACTTAATTTGCTACACTTTCTATTCATCTTGTCTCAATTATTCCTTGGAGAGCTTTTATTTTTTGTTCGTTTGGGGTTTTTTTGGAGAGCTTTTAAAATCACAATTACACTACACTCTTTTTTATGTATCCTGACACACTGGTTATTATTTTAGTTTCAACATGAAAAGAACACTGAATATAGAAACATTTTTCACTCTTAACTTTTAGCCTCGTGCATTTTCATAATTTATTTTTTTCCACTTGCTGTTTTATATGACATATGTGACATCTGATTATTTAATACTAAATGTGATTTGCATAAGACCCAAACCACAGAATTCTCTTGCTGAAGATAAAATTGAGCTTAAAGATTTATTTTCATATTTGTACCGTGATTAGCTTCAGAGTCATGGTTTTCATGGGCTTTTATTGTATGTATGTGTAAGAAATTTCATACATATATATTAAGAAGACCTCTAAGTAATGAAATAATTATTTATGATTTTGATTTACATGGTTTACATTTTCATAATATTGGCTGTATTTCATTTATACTGTTTCTCTTCAAACCATTAATAATTATCCCATAATGTGTAATTTATGGTAGTACAAATGTCTAAAGAATACATTATATTTTCTGCATCATAAATTCAGTTAAAAAAAAAAACCACTTGCTTTGGTCTTCTGATGTTTCCTCCAGCTTTGCTGCAGGCATTGCTGAAGTAATTTTAGTTCTGGGATGTGCCTACATGAAACTGCGCCTCTAAAACCCTGGCCCGGGCAGCTAGCTGGGGAAGAAAAGGGTGGTGGGTAGTACTGTGGCACATCTTGTCCTCTTAACCAGGGGGGCTACAAGTCGACCAGCTTTGGGGTGTGACATCCAGGAGTAGTGAGGCTTTAGTAGAAAACCGGCAGGATGTACTCTGGCCATCCTCATGACCTTGGGTTAGGCCCCTTCTCTGACACCCTCCAGCCCCACCCCCAACCCACCCTGCCTAGCTAACTTCTGCTGTTCCTCTGCTTTAGCTTAAACATCACTTCCTTCAGGAAGTCTCCCTGTGCATCCTGGTTTGGATGTGGCTGCCTGCTCTGCCTTGTTTAGTACCCTTTCTAACTGGTCAGCATCCTTACTGACTTCATACTTGTTTAACTAGACATATTCGTTGAGCTTTATCCCTGTTGTTTGGTGCTGCCTCCCCTCTGCTGTACACAGTGCTTGAATGGGTGATCAAAGAAAACTGTTTAAATAAGGCAGGCTTTGCAGAGTTTCTGCAGACACACATACACAGAGACATACACACACAACAGAATAAGAGGCAGTATATTTTAGTGGCCACAGGTCTGAGCTCTGTAGCCAGCCTGCTTGGGTTTGAACCTTGCCTCATGAACCTTCTAGTCAGTAACTATGAATGAGAAGCTTATTTAACCTTTGTGTACCCCAGTTTCCTCATCGGTAAAACAGATGATAACAGTACCTTTTTCATGGAGTAACCACTCCATGAGGACTAAATAAATGTATGTATGGAAAGTGCTGAGAATAATACCTGGCACTTTGATCAATTTAGTTCAGTCTCAGTCATGTCCAACTCTTTGTGACCCCATGGACTGCAGCACCCCAGGCTTCCCTGTCCTTCACAATCTCCTGGAGCTTGCTCAAACTCATGTCCATTGAGTCAGTGATGTCATCCAACCATCTCATCCTCTGTCATCCCCTTCTCCTCCTGCCTTCAGTTTTTCTCAGCATCAGGGTCTTTTCCAATGAGTCAGCTCTTCGCATCAGATGGCCAAAGTATTGGAGCTTCAGCTTCAGCATCAGTCCTTCCAATGAATATTCAGGGCTGGTTTCCTTTGGGATTGACTGGTTTGATCTCCTTGCAGTCCAAAGAACTCTCAGGAGTCTTCTCTAACACCACAGTTCAAAAGCATCAATTCTTAGGTGTTCAGCCTTCTTTATGGTCCAACTCTCACATCCATACATGACCACTGGAAAAACTATAGCTTTGACTAGATGGACCTCTGTTGGCAAAGTGATGTCTCTGTTTTTTAATATGCTATCTAGGTTTGTCATAGCTTTTCTTCCTAGGAGCCAGCATCTTTTAATTTCATGGCTGCAGTCACCATCGGCAGTCATTTTGGAGCCCAATAAAATAGTCTGCACTGTCTCTGTTGTTTCCCCATCTGTTGCCATGAAGTGATGGGACCAGATGCCATGATGTTAGGTTTTTGAATGTTGAGTTTTAAGCCAGCTTTTTCACTCTCCTCTTTCACCTCATCGGGAGAGGCTCTTTAGTTCCTCTTGGCTTTCTTCCATGAAGGTGGTGTAGAGTAATTTCTGTCCTTTTGATTACCGT